TATGACTAAAAAATTAGTTTTGTTATTAGCACTTCGTACTGGACAGCGAGTACAAACTCAAATGGAATCTCAATCGCTAGTACCGACATTATCTAAACATCGGTTCCGGGACCCTTCCCGGAACCGGTTGCTCCCTAGCAACCCCTCATATTCTTACCTTATTTTACAGAAAGGTTGCCCATTTGCCCTGCCACAACCCTATTAGGTTACATTGATTATACTAAAACAAAAAGACAAGGCAATGATAGCCGTCTATTGTTAAGCATCAAGAAATCACAAAGACTTGTATTGTCACAAACAATAAGTAGATGCATTATGTCGACACTAGCAGTGGCAGATAGCGGCGTAGACACATCTGCATTATCAGCGCACAGCGCGAGACATGCGTCTAGCCAAGGCTTGAAACCGGTTCAGAATAAACCGTTTTTATTTAGGTAAACCCTGTTCTCTTATAATGTTCCGTTCCGGATCGGAACTAAGTGCGGAGTGAAATTCGGATGGAATAAAAACAGGTTAATTCGCTAGGTTCGTAAAAAGCAATTTTCTTACGCTTTTAATGCGAATTATATCATTTTTAAGCGACGACATTTATCATACCTGTGTACGGATCTAATAGATAGGAGTATAGACACTTAAGACCGTGCTGAAGTTTCTGAGATCATTGTCTGGAGTCATATTTAAACCGGTTAATGAAGAAAACCGTATTTCTAGTGAACCGGTTTAAAAACCTGTTCAAAGGAGCTGAACCTTTTATGTAAAGTTCCACATGTACTTACGTCGAACCGGTTCAAAAAATAAACCGGTTTCCAAGCCCTGGCGTCTACCTCCGCAGCTAGTTGTGTTGCTTGCTGTATGCATTGACACGACACAATACGAAGAACTGCGGGATGGACGAACGTTAATAAACTTGCTCGATTCTACAAACCATCGTTATTAAAGACGACGGTTTTGCGCAACCAATTTGTATACCATCTTGGCTAAAATCTTAATTGCTTTATATAAAACATGTGTGGTAAATTACTGAACTTAAAAACAGAAAACATCACAGAAGTATTTAAAAAAAATTAGTTCCCTAAATCAAACTATATGTCGTTACGGTACGTTCTTGATTTCTCCATGACAACACTTCCGGTTTTCTTTCATGTATAAAAGTAAATTAATTTTTAAAACTCAATAACCAACTCCTAATCTATTTGTACTTTTTCGTACCTGTGTTGATATCTAAGTTTCAAACTTCGAAAATTTCATCTTTTAATAATGTTATTTAAAGGGGACGGAAATGACTGTCTTTGGTCCATTAGTTTCCTGCAATAATGTTTTTAAATCAATTGTTAAAAAATTACTCATAATTGCATTTATTATTAGGTAAATTTGTAGGTACCTGCTAGTATATGTGACATGTCAATAATAATGATAGTAGGCATTATTGCTTAATATTAACAAAGCTGTACTGCATGTATGTATGTATGTATGTATACGCATGCATAATTAATTTTTATTTCATATCGGTTGACACCTAGATTCCTCGTGCATTCTGCTCCAATAGTTTTCTCGCCAAACATAATCCAACTGATATTTTTTGAATACATCGTTTTTTCATGGTTTTGTGCCGAGATAGAAACTCCGTATACCTAAGCGGTGCCTAAGCGTAAGCTGTAATTAAAAATGAAAGCTAATGCTTTTGTAACAGTAAAAATGCGTATTATTAAAATTAGAAAATAAAATATTTTTCGATTCCTTCTTATAATTATATGTTTTTTGTTATGATATTGCACAGTACCATCTACTACAATAACGTTAAAAAGGTTTGTCCAAATACAAAAAGATATTGATACGAGTTCGATTCGCACTCGATGGTCTTTAGTGGTATGGCGGGTAATAAAACCCTCGTACTAGTGTTTGTAGGTAATGTTTAAATTCATTATAATTATTATAATATCGGTAGGAATCATATGTCTGCTTCAATAAACCGCATTATGGGACGCGATGGATGGGAAGGAAATCTTGTATGACGCAACAATAAGCTTATTAAACTTATTGAGTGTTACAAACTCGAGGAAAACAAACAGTTTACATCCATCGCCTCAAGTCGAAGTATTTTAACAGATGAGCAGTACTACTGTAGTACTATTGTAGTGCTGTTAAAAACAGCCTCGAACTAGACGTCGAGAGCAGCCCCAGCACTATCATAGCATAGAGGTTCAATTAAATAAAAGCTACTAAAATGGTAACTTTGGTTTTATTTTATTGAAGCTGTGACAATACAGCGCTGCGTTAGACGACGACTATCTATATTATCTATATCTATACTATCTGCGACGCACAGATCGTATAGACACATTATATTCAAATTGATAATCGTAATACTAGTTAGGTAGTCAGTAATTAATGGTTAGAGAAAATGTTTTATACTCGTATGTATTTTCAAAACATTTTTAATAAAGTTTATTTACATTTAATTAAAGTATGTAGATACCATTGTATTCGATAACTTTTTGTCATTTTGTAGATAGGACATGATACCATTGCTATTGAAGTTTTGGGGCTTCTGATCAATAAACTGCGACAAGTGATTTTGGCATTCCATGCGTGATGTTAACCTGACATTGCCTAAAAAATTCTGAAGAGAGCGAAACAGGTGGAAATCTATACGGCGGATGCATTAACACCTCCCAGGCAAACTCTCTTAATTTTTGCGGAGTGGCAAAAGATTAGGTCTAATGTTATCATGATAAAAAACCACACCCCTTCTATTGATTAGGCCTAGCCGCTTTCTTTCAACTTCTTGCTTTAATCTTATCAGTCGTTCGCAGAAGAGTTTCCTAATTTGAATTCAGAGTAATCTTCTTTAAAATTGAAACATTTTAATGATATCGAAACCAACCAGATACAAATAGTATAGTCAGAAAGATTTTTTTTACATGTTTTTTCTTACTATATGCGAAAAGACTTTTGCCCCAACCTAATATTTAAGATTTATTGCACATTTTATGAACAGTAAAAAGGCCAACAATTTAGTAGTATATCTAAGACAGTGGATAGTTCCTAACCTAGGGGTAATTATTACTTAGTATTTCGGCTATGTTGCGGAACATGCTTTAAGTAAAATTAAAACATTAGTATTCGGACTAACTTCAACTGTTATTAAATTTAATATGTAGACATTGCGCTACAGTATTTTGTAAATAAGTATTGTTACTGTAGAATATTGTGGAGTTTCCTGACAGCTTAAGGAAATCGTAAACAAAAATATTTAATGCTGCAAAAAATAATTGTTATTTCATACTTTCTATTTCAAATTTAAACCTAAATAATACCTACTTATAAACTAGGAATTACGACGGCCAGCCAATGAGTGTGACTATAATCTGTGTATACACTATAATTATTATTAGATAGAACCAAATATAGTTAAGTTTCTTAATAAGCAATAATTATAAGTGATAAGTACAAGTGCGGCATTAGCGAGGCAATCGAGGTGAGCTGTGTTGAAACAGCTGTGAGGCCAAGGCGGCCATTTTTCATAGATACCTATAAGTTTTATTTTGAACCTGGCAAGATGTCGTACTTCTTTCTCTAACAAAAAATCGCATGAGGGCACAATGTATGGCGGCCACCGTTTATTGCTAATATTTTGAAGAATCAATTCGACATGATCGGTTCAGGCATCCTTCTATGATACATTCAAGGCCGATTGAATTTCACACTTCGCAGATAAGAATATACATATTTCATATCTTAAATGAAACAATAGCCACACATGAAGTGTACAATTTATACATGCAATGAGTACGCAAGCGAGCATGGCGAATGTTGGTTTTTTGCTTTGTTATGTATTGGCCGATTGCGATCGTACGTAACGTACTGCCAAGTGACTTCCTGCGTTATATTTTTTTATCATGTCTTCCTAAACTTACTGCCATCCTCGGAGACGCCAATTGACATAATGTTATGAACAAACGACTTTTTTAATTTATTTATTTATTATTAAAGTATAATAACGTCTCTGAGAGCGGTAGCTATAGATAAGTTATCTAATTGGACAATAGATTTTTGCTCAACTTAAATTCTGGCGATCGATATTGATATCTACTATTTTTTAATACTTTTGAATTGATAATTGCCTTCCTCTTTGTTGAAGACGCATATTTGATCACATGTGTCTGCGGAACATCGTCAAAACACACCCAATTAGTAATAGTAATGAGTATTTCAGTTATAGTTTTTAGACACATATAATTTACTAATAGGACACATGTAATTTTTAATAAGAAGTTTCATGTGATAAATGTGTGTGCGCGTGCGCCTGTTGCAGGACGAGACTGGTCGCCTGATGCGGCGCAACATAGTTCGGTACATGATCCTCGCGTACGTGATCACCCTGCAGCGCGTGTCGCTGCGTGTCAAGAGACGGTTCCCTACGTGGCAGCACGTCGTGGACTCCGGTAAACATAACCACTGCTACCTATCCACATTATCTTCTCATAAAAACAGGTTCAATTAATATATGCAATTGCTTTTTTTTCATTTATTTATATTTCCATGTTTTTGAATGTTGATTGAACTGATTGAAATTTTAACTAAAGCAAAGATGAATAAATGATTCTTCATTATTATCGGTAATAATTAATTGAGGATTATTTTATACCACCGAATGTTTATAAATTATGATCAATATTGTTTTCCATTCAGCAGGTTTTGATGTTAGGTTTAATTTTTATTTGATTATTACAAACAATAGTTGATTTACCTCCATGGGTGTAATTACCCTTAGATTAAAGACCACTTCTGATAACTCCTTCTTTACACCAGTATAAATTCATACGCTTTTATGACAATAATATTACAGTACCAATGGCGTTTCAATCAATCGTAATTTATCACTACTACGTACCCGTGTGTTCTGATTTGCCAAATGACCTCTTTATAAATCAGTCAGTTAAAAACAGTATCAAAAGATGTCATTGTCACGCTATGGCTCGTTGAGGCCCCTGGACCGGCTATCGCTCGCTCCAGTTCGATACCAGGGGAGGGCGCGATGTGGCGGGCTGTCTCTAGCGTGGGTATCTCACATAGAGAATTAACTAACAATACTTCAAAGTAAAGTATAACAATACTATAACAGGTTTGATGTTGGAGAGTGAGCGAAAAGTATTCGAGAAGATGGACGGGAAAAGTCCGATGTCCAAGTACTGGATGCCGCTGGTGTGGGCGACTAACATAATAAACCGAGCGAGGAAAGAGGGTCTCATAGCGAGTGATCACATCGTGCAGACGCTCCTGGTGGAGTTGTCAGACATCAGACGCCGGCTGGGCGCGCTCATCGGCTACGACACTGTCTGCGTGCCACTAGTGTACACACAGGTACCTACTGTCGATATACTTCATCAACGTGGAACGTGGAAGGTTCATTGTCATTATCTCAGCTCTGATTGGATACGGTATATTTGTTTATGATTACCATATCACAAGATCTTTACTTACTTGACGTTTCAGCAACAAATGTAATGTCGTCTATTTGATTTACACAAAAGCAAAATATAAGAATGATTCGTTTGAGAATGAGGTACGCCGTCGTCATAAAGCATGAGTATTGTTTGAATGTTCATGCATCCAACCAACATCTAAAGAAGCAGTTGTTAAAACATAGTAACCATAACGAGATCAGTATTTACTTTATTTTAAATGACAGACCACTATTATCTTCATCTTAATATTGACATTCAAAATTTTGTGGTGTAATAGTGGTAGCCTTACCCTATGAGTGAATTCTTACAGGTGGTAACGCTCGCTCTGTACACGTACTTCGTGGCGGCGCTCATGGGTCGGCAGCTGGTGCCCGCAGCCCCCGGCAGCACCTCAAAGTACGAGCCTGACGTCTACTTTCCACTCTTCACCGCGTTACAGGTGAGCACCGCATTAACACTTGCCGTACCATGGTCCAACTTAAAATAACCTTTATTCAGAGAAATTAATTAAAAGAATCGTCCAACTTTTTTACCTGCCGCCCATTCAGTTCTCCATAGATTTCATTGCATTATGTATTTCAGAAGAAATTATTTTTCATATTCTCTAGGATAAAAAAAAAAGACTTAAAAAGTTACGCTCTGCCGTATTGTCGTATGTGTACTTATTTATGGTGATGATTTCTTTTCCAGTTCTGTTTCTACGTGGGTTGGTTGAAGGTGGCCGAGGTGCTAATTAACCCGTTCGGAGAGGACGACGACGACATCGAGCTCAACTGGCTCATAGACAGGCACATCAAGGTTTGTATTCTTTTAGTTTATCTTCATTAGATTTGCCTATTAATGAATTATTGTCCCCACTGCAGAATCACTATTGATTCATCACGGTTTGCATCGAATAGGGGTAAGGGGCTATAACCCACCACGGCTCCAACGCGAATTGACGTTCATGCTTAATTATAAAACGAGGACTAATTTTAGTACCAGGTTCAAATCGTTATCCAACCGAGATGAGTCTACACGTATCTATCTAACGTTTTCTCTTCTGTCATTCTTAATTCAGTTTAGGCCAATTTTTTAACTCAAGTACCCATTTTAAACATTAAGTTTTACTAACTTTACCTTTATCCTCTTTTTGTCATAAAACCGTTAATGTTTAGAAATATTATGAAATAACAGGCGGCGTACATGATAGTGGATGAAATGCACGAAGAGCACCCGGAGTTACTGAAGGATCAGTACTGGGAGGAAGTGGTGCCCAAAGATCTGCCGTACACAGTTGCCTCGGAGCATTACCGACGGCACGAGCCCGCCTGCTCCGCCGACCACTACAAGGTGAAGGCTGAAGACGCGGTATACGCTAACGTGCAGGCTCCAAGGAAGAGCCATGACGAGACATACGCCGATTATGTAAGTTACACCCCTGACGTTAACCCTATTATATAACAACACTGTCTACTACTGCTTTACATTTTACTTTTCGTTCCAAATACTTGTGTCAATGACACTGCTAGCTTTGATATTTTCCATCTAATAAAAAAAAATCTATCCAATATCCGCGCGCGTAGGTACTGACTGAGCGAGCACGAGGCAGTCTCGGACGTTTGCCTCACGAGGCAGTTTCGGTCGTAGATATATTGTATGAGGCGAGGACACAGCCGAGCCGGGCAACGTCGAAACTTTATTCATACATATATGCGACGTATTTGTACCAGCGTATTACTGAAACACGACCATTTTGCTTGAGTGTACGCGTGGAAAACCTACCGAGGTTGGTGAGCCACCTCCTGGCCGAAGAGCACCCGGAGACAGCTCGCTCAGTCACCTTACATACGTGCCTTATAATATAATATACGCCATATGCTTCGTTTAGTTGGGGGAGGGGAGGTCTGAATAGTAGCTACGTCATAATTACACAATCTTCCTTTACAATACATACGGTACTCATCACGCATGATCTTAATTCTATTAATAAAGCTCATAACAAGAACAAAATAGCTAAATTCTAATAATTAATTAATTAATCAGACGAATGGCCGACGAGATAACCTAACGACTAACCTTTTCCCGTGCTTTCAGGAGAGTGTAGATACACCATTGGTAGAACGACGAAAAAACTGGTTTCAGAGACAGATATCAAGAATGGGCTCGGTACGGTCCGCGTCGACGGCGTACTCGTCGGGCGGCCTGTTCGGGCGCGGGCGGCGCGCGTCCGCCGTGTACGCGAGCCCCGAGGCGGGCGCGCCGCCCCCCCACCCCCACCCCCACCACCAGCCCGCGCACAAGATGTCGCTCTACGAGCGGCTCGTCGGCCGCAAGTCGGGCAGGCACCAGCACAGGCAGAACTCCAGACATGGTACTCACGCTCACATACTCGTATAATCGTCGTTATATCTGTTTGTTAACTGATGGCAGTCAGTCAGAGCAGGTTATAGCCTTTACTGTCCCTGTGAAAATCGCTAGGTCTTAACGACTGTACATGATGTGTTGTGATGCCCCTTTGAATTTCATTTACAATCGTCAAAATCGACAAAACGCTATACTCTGTTGGCGTGGTGGGTAGGTTAAGGTACCTCATATAGGTACAAAACATATTTACGAGTAATGGTAAACGGTAATTTTGTTAATTAGGTGGAGGCAAGAGCAACGGCGTAGCAGTGCCGATCACGCTACGCAACCGGCCGCGTATCCCGACGCCGGACGTGGCCAAGGAGGTGCTCGACCGGGACAGGCTCGCGGTCGGCATGCAGAACATGGGCGTCATCATGGCGCAGGGATACCAGAGCGAAGTGCCCGTGCTGGGAGCACTCGTCTTGTCACCGATACAGGTTCATTTTTTTCTATATATAATATATTTGTTAATTCTGCACGTGTCCTAACGTTTAATAAGATACTAATGGTAAATCATAAAGTCTTTGTCCCTGAGATGGGACTCGAACCCATTAGAATAGCGTCAGCGCGGTAGACAGAAATGATACCAACTTCCAAGTTGTAGATCTCTATTTAAATAAACAATCTTTGTCTTATATACTACTTAAATCTAAGAGGGGGATATAAGGGTATGTAATAAGTAACTGCTAAGGAAGCACATTTATCGAACGTGAATTATTTGCATATTAGTGTATTCCATCCAAACCACATTTATAACGTGATTCTTACTACACTATAACCTTTCGCAATGAGGGCGACTGCTCTCACTTTATTATTTAATTAAGTTCTATTAATTACACTTGGCTATGTTTTATTTCAGACCATGGCTTTTTTTGATAAAAGTATTAAAACGTTAGTAAAACCTTGTAGTAAATCGGATAGATGGTATTTTTAATGGTAAATATTACTATTTTTGTGTTTAGGGAATAAACGGTTCAGATTATTAGTACGTAAAGTGCGTGTTACATGTCAACTGATGTATTGGATAAATTTGTCTGTCGTCACGTGCAGGAGTTGGACAGTGGTTCGGTGAACAACACGCTGCACGCCGGGCAGCCGGGCACGGCGGCGCTCGCGCAGGCGGTCCTCGCGCCCTCTGTGCTGGGCGGCGTGGGGCCCGCCCCCGCCCCCACCCCGGGCCCGCTCGCGCTCTCGCCGGTCGCTATAGCGCGCGCCCCCTCCGCGCCAGGCACGCCGCGCGCCCCGCACTCGCCCGCCCCCGCGCCACCCTCCACGCCCCCCTCCGACCACGGCAGCGACTCCGGCGCCGCCACACCACCGGACTCCTCCAAACGCGGCGAGGTTTACGTCTGACAGAGATTAGAGTGCCAGCTCCGACCGATCTCAGGGGAACGACTCCTAAACCAGCACACGATGATCAGATGTTTTATTTGTTCCGGTTTTCGTCAGTCGCTCGTCTTCGGTCCAATACGGTTAACGAATACGAGCTAATTTATCTTAGCAACTTTCGGAGTGCGCTCCCCAGTTTAGACATCTGAATCGGAAAGTGAATTGTGCACTGGGTGTGTTCAGTGCTATGAGTGTTCGTCGCGCATTCTCACCAGATCCGGATCGGACCTATTACGCGGATCACACAAACAGTGATGGTCCAAATTAGAAATATTCCTGGATACATCAAAAATTAAGGGTGCGACTCTCTAAAAGAGTAACCGTATCTGTTCGCTTTCTTCAACATATTTCTATCCTGCTCTATGTCTTTTTATTACATTCCAAAAAAAATCGTTTGCCAAGCAAAAAGTTTGTGAACTGCGCTCGTGCAGACAGTGAGCGGCAACAACTCGACTTTTCTCGATCTTAAATACGGTACTTCTGGGCGACAAAAGAGAACGGAGCTAAAAAATATCGAAGAACGCAATACCGTTCAGATATGATTAACTAATAAGTCATGTTGTGCTGTGCTCATTAGAATGGCGTGCGATTGTCAAGACCATTTAGGTTTTATTTCCATTATTGGTACCACTAAGTTTTATATCTAAGATAAAATTATCCCGACTATTCGACACCATAGTAGGACAGAAAATAATTGTATGGCATTCGTGGGAAGAATATTAAATTTTCGGACAATATCCATGTGTGAATTTTTTAACATGTCATAAAGGAAGATGAAATCTTTATTATGTAATAATCATGGTCTACACTAAAAAAATTAATTACGCCATCCTAATGAGCTATAAAATTATAATAATAGGGGTGCTGTTGTGAGCTTATGACTGACATTATAAACAAATAAAGGTGCGTTCGACAAAGTTCAAATGTAAAGAGTTATGTAAGTTTATAAATGAATTTACGCACAAACAGGGATTGAAATGTATAGCTTTCTATAAAGTATTTTTATTATATTTGCAGTTTTTTTCTATTAATCTTCTACCTGATCCACCTCCCATCCCCAAACTAGTTTTAGTTGAAAACTATTATTCCATGCCACAACGTGATATGTTATGAAGAGTTCGAAATAACTCTCGTTATAACTCTAGCCATGGCTATAGAAATGTGTTACCTGACTTAATCAATTAATGTTTATATTTCTTTATAATACTTTTGTTAAATAATTTACATATTAAATTACTGGTTTCGGTTGTTGTAGTTTTCTGAATTATTTAAATGTGACTAAATAATAAAAAAATCGATATAGACAGAGTTATTTCAAAACATGAAATAAACTTAAATGTTAGATTAAATACATAAACAATAAAAACATAACATTATAAATGTATAGAAACTGATCGACTGATCATTACTGACAACTGTAGATTATAATTTATGGCTGGCTCTTAAAATTGCTTAACAATGGTATCAACAAAACGAACGTGCGTTAGCGCTATTGAGCTTCTTCAGTACAATTCGAGATATTTCTGACTGTCGTGTGTCAGAAATATCTCGAACTGTGTGCCTGCTAGCTCGGCTCCTAAAGCGCCACAAACACGCAGAATTCTGTGGCTTTATTAGCTCATACATCATGGTTGATGAACTAAAAGAATTCAAATTTACTGATTTCTTAAGACTAACACAACCTGTTAACTGTCTGTTTAGTAAAAAAACAGTACAATGTTTTATTTACACTGTTAACAGAACGTACAACTATTATATGTTCAATTCATATACATTTTCTTAGCACCTATAGAAATGAGAAAGTATAAAAAAAGCCATTTGTTCCCGAAATCAAACTTTATATCGCTTCGGTACTTCTTGATTTCTCCATGACAACCCTTCCGGTTTTCTTTCATGTATAAAAATAAAATTAATTTTCAAAACTCAATAAACAACTTCTATTATTTTAGTACTTGATATCTAAGTTTCGAACTTTGCAAATTTCAGTTTTTTAATATGTTAGTTAAAAGAAACGGAAATGACTATATATGGTCAATTCGTTTCCTGCAAAAATAAAGTATTGCTAGAGTCACCATCTAGTGAGGTGCTTTTTAGTGCTTTCTTCTTTTCTTAAAACACTTCCTCATTAGGGGCCATCCATAAAATAAATCACACTTTAGAAGGGGGGGGGGGTCAACGAACTGTAACATTAGAACAATATTTAGTAGGATTTGTATAGACAAACATGTGACAGGAGAGGGAAGGGGTTTAAAAAAATTATGAATTTTGTGTGCCGTAATTTATGGACGGCCCCTTATGCATGTAACAGCATTTCACAGACTCGTGGTTGGCTGCAGCGCTGTTTCGTTATACGAGTTTTAATCAAATAATACCTTTATCACCTTTGGCAGAATGTCTTATTTGATAGCACTACGAGCTACGCTGGGCATCGAATTCAATGACTGCCACTGCGGCTGCGGGTCTTCTCCGAGAACTCGGGCTCTATTTCCATTGTCACGTCAATACCTTCAGTATTGTTGTGTTCGTCTTATCAGTATAATATTGGATACCACATATGTCAAAATACTATTTTCACAATGGAATTGCAATTTATTATATGTATACTAAGCAATAGAAGTAGCTCGGCGGCGTTGTGGATAAGCGCCGCAGCCCACGATCGTTGTCGTTAAGCAACTTTCGCAAGGGTCGGTCACGGGATGGGTGACCAAAAAATTATTATCTCGAGCTACTCTGTGCTTCGGAAGGCACGTTAAGCCGTTGGTCTCGGCTGCATTTGCAGTCGTTAATACCCTCCAATCCGCATTGGGCCAGCGTGGAGGGTCATGGCCCATCCTCCTTAACCATCCATAAGGAAGGCCTGAGTCCCTGCAATAGGGACCGAAAAAGGCTGATGATGATGATGATGATACTAAGCAACACGAAAAGTTGTCACTGACCAGAAACATGCTCTGATTGGTCGCGAGCGCGGATTGGGCGGGATTGGAGGAATTATTAAAAGTCTTGGAATGTGGTGTACATTGTTTTAATCACAATTTTCAAAACTGTACATGGTGTTTATACATTTGGCATTGATAACTTGTCTAATGAATACATTTGAAGAACTAAATAAAAAATAACTCTTACGATTATCCGAGGGTGTGGAATTGTTGCAAGGCGTTATAACATTTTAACACTTTCAACTGTTGGTATATAGGTCACACCATAGAGGTTCTTTTAGGCACCGAATTTTCATTTCTCATATCTGGCTCTCCAAATCCTCAACTACTTACATAATTATGTATACAGTTACTTTATATTATGATAAATAAAACTGCCAAATTTATTTCTCTACAGCTGTTGTATTCGTCAGATCAGATCAATTAGTAATTTATCAAAATTTCATTGAAAAATGCACCGAGTGATTTTAAAAGAATTATATACATATGACGTGTCGGTTGTCACGTAGCGCATCAAGACTAGTATTAGTACCTACACCCGAAGCATCCGGGACTTATTCGCGTAAACTACAACATCGATTTCCTGATTATTACACCTCAACTATTACTACAGATCGGTTAAATGAGTAATTTATACTGCAAAATAAAAGTTGTTCACTTTAAGCATATTATTATTAGCATGATAACGTTTGTTCAAAATTCCTATTCCTCTTTGGATCAAGGCCGAGTGTTACGATCGCCAGGTGAGGACGCCGCGAGCGAGTACGTGCACGTCTATGTACGTACACGTACACGGGCACGCGCACGCACACGCACACGTGCGCGCGGTCCACACACCAGGCGCACAGTTAATTAAACATAATCTAATACCAATATTATTATTGTAATAATAAATATTTTCAGTCTTTGGTTCCATTCCAGTTCATTGCATAGTGTAAATGCGTCGTTCCGGCGACACAGAGCCGAGGACTACCCGCCGCTACCTACAGACTAGCGTTCATTTTATTAATTTAACCATTATACAAACTTATTGCACTTGAAATTTCCATAATCACAGAAGATTCCGCATCGGCGACCTCGGATATGTCACGTACCTCCACCCACGATCTCTCATTTAGCGTTCGGCATCTACACAAATAAGTATAATGCGAGCACGCGGCTGCAGGCGTACTACTTAGCGTAATATTTACAGGAGGGTCGGGCTCCGGAATTTGGCAAACTGTACGCGACCACGCCACGGAATTTTGAACAACGTCTCTATGCGAAAAAGAACCTCTTATGAACTGTAGATAGAGTGCGCTCCAATAATATAATAAATAAATCGGGCACACTGATATGTTCGGCTCTGTTCCTTGCACTGTGTCGCGGTACACATTCATTTACTGCGGCTCCTACGATGATTAAATAACAAAACAATTTAAATGCTTCTAAAGAAACAGGATCAGTCAGTCTCTCATGATTACAAGAACAATTTGAATTTGAAACCAAACCATAACACGACCTAATTCGCGCAGTCAGCTCATTCCGCCAGCAACTCTGCAACAAACAACACGCCACGTGATCAGATCACGTGATGAACACCTATTGACATTGATATCTGTAACGTTTATTGTAACATGTCACTTTATATATAACGAGCTGTTCGTCCGCGCAAATAATATATAATAAAATAACTAAAAAATAATCTAATAGGCCTAGTCTTGGGTAATACAATGTTTACACAGACATTTTGGTGTCCAACGCTTTTTGGAGGCGAAATCGAAAAGGCAAAGAAGTCAAGAGAATAAAAGTGCCCGATAGCGTTCCTACACTAAATTCAAATTTGGTCTTTGAATTATTATTTATCTTTGGCTCTTAAAGTGATGTTACTTTGAGTGAGACTCTGAGACGAATTATATAGCTTAAAATGGAATTCCATCCTACCGATCGAAATCCAAAATATTACACGAAATATACACTCAGACTATGCAGTTTTTCTGAATTCAATCATAATACACAATACAAAAAATCGTCTCTTGTACTCGGTTCTCTCCACAGCTAACCAAATGAACCCACTATCTAAGGAAGATGGTCAGCACCCTCATAATGAGAATTATATAAAGTTCGGAAAGGGCGGAATTACTGTCAAAAGTAACGCAAACCGACGCTACAATTTCACGGAAAAATAATCAGCAGTTTCATACAAAATTGTAAAACCTACAAGCGTCGACAATATGAACTCCACGAAGTCCTGGCATATAATAATATTACACGTTATATATAGAATATTTATATGTAAGTTGGTCAGCATGAACACCGAAATAAGTTGCCGCAAAATTATTTTATTTTATCGAAATAGTAACAACTATTGAAGCGGTAATACTTAATTATTTCAGACATTGTTCACATAAACAGTCAGCTGCCGACAAAATGCTTTGGATGATTCTGAACAATCATTTGATTTTTTATTAATACTTAATTCAGTAAAACATCTTCATAAAAATTAATTTTATAGTAGTTCTGTCTTATTATTATAGATGGCACTTTCATTAGTTTAACCAAATCATGATCATGAGTCTCTTTGAATACTCGTATCGAGTTAATGGTTTTATTGGGTTTTATGGGTAGGGTATGCAGTGCTTATTTGCATGTATGGTGTGCACGCCACAGCATAATGATACATATATGTGTATACCTTGCACAGGGCGACGGGGTCTGAACCCACGGGACCCGTCCGGTCCGCGCGGGGGCCGCAGCACCAGCACGCGGGGCGCGGCGTCTTCCAGCGACGCGGTCCGCAGCCGAGCGAGCAACCGCTCTGGTCGCTCGCCGCGCTCGCCACGCTCGCCGCGCTCGCCGCGCTCGCCGCGCTCCCCGCGTTCGCCGCGACCACGATTCGATCCCCCTCCGCTCGGAGCGCGTCTACAGGAGTATGCCACATACATGACAATTGTGATTATGCGCGTACAAGTTATTTAATTAGATATTAAAGAAAAATATTATTTTACTTGTAGGACACAAGCCTATTATTTTTCCGTACTTATATGGTAACGATAAATATTGTTTAACCGTGCATAAAGTTCAATTTGTGTCTTCTTGTATCTCTGCTTTTGAGAGAACGGTTTCACGTTGGAAATACACAGAAGAATCTATCATTTTGATGCTAATTATTTTTGAGAATTCGTTCCTAGTTTTGAAATGATATAATTATCATGAACCGGCTTATCGTCGAGCTCACAAGATCTTTGTGAGCAATGTGCGCCGGCACATGGTTCCAGGTGTAATGTTGAAAAACTGTTATAATAGTATTTACGACGCATTATTAAGCTGTTTTTTTGAAACGCGATGCTGATAAGTACTTAGGCAACTGAAAACCTGTCAAATAATTTAAACGTGAAAAAGGAGCGCAGAGCGTTCGGTGTCAAGTGTGACCATTTGTGTGTGTGAGTTTGCACGATGTAAAGAACAAGTAAAACGTGTATTATATAAATATGTGTGTATTGGTGGTATTAGTAAACTGACCCGACTCTGACGACGTTGCAGGCGGAGGACTTGCCGTTCCTCGGGTTGGTGAGCAGCACGAATTCGACCGTGTCGCCGTGCTGCAACTCGCCCGCGCCCCCGCGCACCTCCGACATGTGGAAGAACAGACGACGCGCCTCCTCGCCCTCCACAGACAGGAAACCGAAACCACCTGACAACACACACACACACATGCTCACACCACGCGATCTCATTATATACAAGAATATTCCATAAAAACTTTCATCCCCTACTTTACCCACTTATGAGTCGAATTTCGTTAAACCCGTCTTAGTGAGCATCTACGTTCTAAAAAAATATCGCATGCAAAATTTGAAACTCCTTGCACTTGTAAAAACGAAGTTTCACACAAACTATCATCCAGTAATTTAGCAACTTTGGAGTTAACTTTTTAAATATCCCTTCTTAGTGCTCCTCTCTCTACACTCCCTAAGGAATCTTCATTCCAAATTTCAACTTTGTACGCTCAGTAGTTTCGGATGCACGTTGTAAAAGATATATAAAAAGAGGAAAAAAAAAGAAAACTAAATATTGAATATAAAAAATAACTAGTTGTATGTAAAAAAATAGTCTTTCTAGTCTAACTATCTAGTTGATTGGCTATAAAATAAGAATAAAATTATTCAGTACACGCTACGTAAATACGAAATGTCATGCCATGTGGCATTTCCTTTTCAGAGTACTTGTGCGCATTAATCATTACATATTTTTCGCATATGTAATGATTAATGCACACAACTATACTTCGTATGCTAATCTCCGATTCATGTCGTCACACTACATTTTTGACATAGAAGAAACCCGTTAGAATTTCCATTTCTTTTGGATATAAACGGCGTCGTTTTTAAGACACTCCATTTGCTGAAGCAGTTTGTCCGCCCTTCTTTATGAATCTCTTCTTTTTTTTACTTTCATTTTGGAATATTTCAAAACTTTCATTTTGTTTGTATTCTGTATTCTTAAAACGTTAAAGTGTGAACCGTAGTCAGTGCCGATATGACTATTTATACCGCTGCGAGAACATCTACACTGGGGGATATATTACGAAATCCACATTTGTGTCGGAGGTTGGGAATCAACATTTTTGTTTCAATTAGTTATACACAAAGATTACATATTAAGCAATATTGAATATCGTACGGTAACAATTAAGCTGTGGAAGCATTATAAGTGTACGTGTGTATACCCTTGATGGCGTCGACTGTAGCGCGCCGCTTCTTGCGCACGGGCACGATGTTGGCTGCGAGCCCCTCCACGTTGGGGTGGAAGGTGACCGGGTCGCCCACCTGCAGGATCTCACGCTTGCACGCCAGACCCATTATACCGAACTGATAACCATTTTCCCCGCCGCCTGAATTCGCACCGGCCACCTTAATCAGACCTGCTCGATCGAAACACAACACGACGTATTTCAACAAGAGCTATTTAAATCTCAATGATTTAATTTTTGGAAAAGTACATTCTATATCACGCATTAAAATCTGAATATTTTTCCAAACTGTTCCTTAGCAATTAGTGCAAATATATCAGTATATAAACAATTTTTAGTACGTAAAAGGAAACTTTCAGTTTGCGTTTTTTACCCGACTGCGCATCGCAAAGGAGGGTAATGTGTTTATGAGTCTATGTATGTATGTGCGTTTGTTCCTATTTGGCATTGTAGAGACCAAATGACTTGGCCAATTGTGATTATTTATACATCAATTGATTTGTCTTAACCTTGCGAGTGTCACTAAACACATAAAAGTAATCAAAATTCAGCATAGCAACTACCAGACGCCATATTGTCAAAATGAAAAACATTAAAGTTGATTAGGTATTTAATAAAAAAAATAATTATTATGTTTACTTAGTCTTTTTTAGGGTTTCTGTAGTCCCTACAAGGAACCCATTCTATGTTCGTCTGTCCGCGATCTAGCTCAAAACATATAAGTACTAGAAAGTTGTAATTTGGCACGGGTACATCAATAACGCCGCTTTGGGTCTAAACTACTGATTATTATTAGTCCCTCTAAAGAGCTCACTCGGCTCAAAGCTACATATGCTTGACTTTTAGTAAAAATTCGCGAACTATACCAAACATTATTCCACCTTATTCATAAAGGCACGCAAATTTCAATAAAAAAGTAACAATAATAAAAAATCTACATAAAACACATTCCGCATTAATTTTATCATTATATATTTTTATACGTTTCTATATTTATGTCAGTGTTATTGTCAGTAAATACTATTATTGTATATTCATTAAATTTTCTTCATAAGATCAACTTCGTCTTGTGATGTCAAATTGCCTAAGATACAATTACCCAACTTTAGTGGTAAACACAGCTTATGGCAGCCATTTCATTAGCTCTTTAGGTCAGTTATACATAATAATAACAAAATATCTTCTGTTGAAAGGCTGCATTATCAGAAGAGCGCTCTATCTGGCGAAGCAGAAATCTACAAGTTCATAGGATCCAATTATTATATTCATGGCTATGTCTAAATTGGACCACGAATCACTAAGACTGTGGGAAATAAATATTAAGTCCTTACATATGAAATTGGCGTTTGGTATGGGAGGAACAAAAAGTCAAATATTTTTTAATATAATATATTTATTTAAATAAAGTATAAACCATTGTTATATATGCACTTTTGCCATCTCATAGGTAGTTCAAAAAGTCGAATATTTTTTAAAATAATATATTTATTTAATCAAAGTATAAACCATTGTTATCTATGCACTTTTGCCACCTCATAGGTACTAAAAAAACCATTCGGACGGGAATCAATAAAATCTTTGAAGGCGATTTGCACTGCCCCATCGGGGTTGAATTTTTTCCCTTGCAAGATGTTATCCAAATTTCAAAAAAAATGGTAATCTGTTGGAGCAACGTCCGGGGAGTACGGTTGATGTCTTAGACATACCAATTGAAGCTCATCTTATTTGGTAGCCGTCTGTTGTGCAGTGTGTGGTCTAGCTTTGTCGTGAACTAGCAGTGGCGTAACTAGTTTTCCAGCATGGTTTGCAATTGCTGACAACAGACGTCTGCCGTAATCGTCTAGCCAGATTTGTGGAAACTATAATGAACGACACCGGCACTAGTCAAACAAACGCTTACAAGTAACTTTTGGGGTCAATTTTCGCTTGGGGCAGGATTTGGCTAGCATGCCAGGGTCCAAACCATTGCGATGAGCGCTTCCGATTATTATCGTAGAGAATCCACTTTTCATCACAGGTAGTGATTCGATTTAAAAACCCTTAATTTTTGTGCCGGTTAACTAATGTAACGCAGCAGTCGAAGCGCGTTTGCCGGTTTGCTTCACTCAATTCGTGAGGTACCTTTAAAGCTTTTTAATTTTTCCAATTTGCTTCAAGTGGATTAAAACAGTTTTATCACTAACACCGCACCCCGGAACTAACTCGGACGTGGTTTGCGATGGATCCGCTTCCATAATAACCTTCAATTATTCATTATTAACTTGGGTCTTCGGCCGTCCACGGGGCTTGTTCTGCAGGTCTATTTTTGGAATTCCCAACCAAGGAGAAGAAATTTGTGATTAAAGTGGCCAGTACGACAAACGCCAATTTCATATGTAATGTACCTAATTATTACCTATTAGCGAGATCCATCGAATGGGCTCCCCGCCGAGAATGACTAAGTTGTATTTATGGAATCACAATTTAGAACGTTAGAAATGATCGACAGTAATAAACCGATGCAGAGCACCCCTCAGCAAAATTTTGGAAGACCAGAAAAAGTAAAATCTTTTGCAACTGTACATGATGAAAAAAGTGATATGAAGTCAAAATGTGCTACGTGTCCAGGAAATCATTTCTAATCTCAACTTTTACCAAGTGCGAGATTAAAATTTGTACTAAGTGTTTATGTTTCAATTGTATTACGCACTCAGCTAATAATTGTCGTAAATCTACGTGCTGCCGCAATGTGGTAGAAGACCACTCATTACTACACGTCGAACGATAAGGAACAAAGCGAGCCACAGAAAAGGATAAAATAACATCAACCGATCGAGAAGTTAAGATTGTTGCCAATTTTGCCAAAGAACATCGTGCATTAATTGATCAGGGATTTCAAGGATCTTTTGTATCAGAAGAAACCGTCCAATTATTAGGTCTTAAACGTGTACCAGTAAGTGGTTGCGTGTCAAGTTTGGGAAAAGGTCAATTAAAAATAAAATACCTTGTGTCTTTCTGTGTATAATCAAAGAGGTATTCAAATGATTCAATTTAGGTTACTGAGTACATATTAAAATCACTTGTCCGACGAATTCCTTCTACTAAAATTCTATCACCTAATTGGTTAGAACTCGAGAACCTTTCAAGAGCCGATTCAGGATTTACATTACCAGGCAAAAATTTTTTTGCTTAGCACTGAAGTTTACATTCAGATATTCTTAGGTGATATGGTTAAACATCCACAAGGAATTTTATTAGCTAATTATATAATCTTATTTCAGAAAGAACATTACCATCAGCTTTAACAACGAGACCATTTATAAGTTTACTTGTCAAACGATAATTTACTCAAACAATTCTGGGAGTTGGAAAATGAGCCGAATAGAATTCAAAGGAAGTTTATGAAGCTTCAACCTTCGGGAACAAGGAAAAATGATTTGTAATAAACAGTCAAGACCCAAAATGTCAATACGGAAGGTTGAAAGATATTGCACAAAGAAGATACTAGTTCCTGGAAAAAAGGTTTAAAAAAAATCCAAATTTTAAAGAATAATACTGTAAATGTAAAGTGACTCAAGAATATTTGGATATTCGATTCAAAGGTAGTTTACCTTCCCCAGCATACGTTAGTGAGGGAAGATAAGGAAACGACCAAATTGCTAGTCGTTTTTGACGCATCTTGACAATGGTGTATCGCTTAACGACACTCTTCGTCTTGGCCCTAAACTACAAAAAGATATGAGGCATATTTTGATGCGATGGCGCAGATTTTCAATATGTATTGTAGCAGATGTAATAATCAAGAAGACACGTTTTCAGAAAATAATTTGGAGAGCGAACCCTCAAGAAACCTTTGGTCGATATGAGTTACTCACGCTTATCTTTGGCATTGCCTGTGCACCTCATTTGGCCGTGAAATCACTGCAACATTTAGCAGTTGAAGAAAAATATAATTAACCATATTGCATCAGAAATTACAAAAAAGTGATTATTTCGTTAATTACCATCTAACATAAAATAATCAAAATGATTCTTATTTAATTAACATTAAGACTATAATATGGTCAAAGTTCTCGGTATTTGTTGGAATAGAAATACCGGTGAGTTTCAATACACAGTGGATTATTATTGATTATTTTAGTACAACTAATGCCATGAAACCAATGAAAAAATAAAAATTAATGGTTTGGGATTGAACCTTGCGTAACTAAAATATAAAGTTGATTTCACATACTTTTTGTTGATAATAACAGTTTTAACAAGATTAAATGATTCTAATGAATATTTATTCAAATATTACTATCCGATGATAACATATAATCTCCATTGGATAAATTATTGCTTGCACTCTTATTTTAACATTGTATTATCAGACAATAAGGCATGTCTCAATTTTTAAATCAAAAACACCCCTAGTACATGTCATTGACGACTGTCTCATAGGGCATATGCCATCCAACTGAAAACGGGAACGCCCATTTGCGGCTTCTACTCTTTTTTGTTCTGTGAGTCCCTCCTAATATGAAGTTTTTGTGTTCTACAATTCATAGATAATTAATATTTATATTGTGTAGCGGCAGCCAACTGTGCAGATCGTATTGTTTGAGGTTAAGTGTTACATCTGTTCTACTACAATATAAATGTTAAATAGTTGCTAGCCCCATAGCAGAAGGGTTTTGATCTGTCTGCGACAGATTATAAAAACCTGAAAATAAAATTCTGTTTCTGCCAGTGTAATTTTTTTATTTATGTAAGACTGCCGAACTGTCTACAGACCTACTCGGCTGTCTGCGACAATGTTGCAGTGTCGCTCGTTGTTCTGCCTCGGGGGTTGCTAGTTGGGTATCGCTTAATTAATTATAAATCTGTAAGCATTTTCTGCTTATGGAATGTGTCTTCCAAGACTTAGATCTTAGACAGATCAGTGACAGTGATCAACAGACCAGTATACGGTTATTGAATTTTAATAATGTTAAACTTATTAATCAGATGCTGAGAAAGGTGAGAAGTGTTTTACTGGAGATAAGTTTTGGTGGTGTAAGGTGTTACGGTGCGGTGGCTCACCGGAGTACTGGGGCTGGTCAGGGTTGAGTGCCCGCAGCGTTCGCGTCACAATCCCGTGCAGCGCCTGCGACTGATGCGGCGCCACCGGCACAGTGCCGGGCGGCAGTGCGCGCACCCACTCGGCACTGGCACAGCCGCCGCCGCCGCCGCCGCCGCCACCGCCGCCCCCGCCGCCACCGCCGCACCTGCCCACCACGTACTCCACCTCCGAGCCCAGCTCCAGATCGTCCGCACTGCCCTCCAGGTTACTGCACACACAACAACACTACAACTTGAAGTATTTTACATACACAATGCGCACATAGTTAGAGAAATCATGACGATATCAACGAGGCAGACATACCCGTATATTATAAGGAGCGAAATGGATTATTTTTTTAAATAATTTACGCACGTGTAATTTTTCTAAATCACAGACTATACGAGGGTAACACTGAAAGTATTTAAAGTAAACCAGCGCGCACGCCACGCCGAACTCTTAGAAACGTCTTATCTACAACCAAATGTCAGTTTTCTAGGGTGCGCTCATACAAAATCTTTTTCATGTACCGCGTCAGAAATGGAGGAACTTGAGAGTGTCGGAAATGGATTTGGCGAAAGAAACTTTTCAAGTTATATCAGACAATCCAAATTAGATCCCGAATGAAACAAAACACAACCCAAATGTATTTAGAGAGTCCACTTCTGCACGCTCTAACCACGCATGATTATCAGCTCGTTGGATCATCTTGGATCGCGTAGTGTGCCTTGCTCAACAAACATGTATAAAATAAAGTTTAGATTTCATATGAAGCCCTTATTCGTATCGCAGTGTTCATCTGGTAAACGTGATTCAAACACATTGATGATTCGCAAGAAGGACGTTCTTCTACCGCGACTGTTGAATATAATGTGAATATCTTCTATCAGCTTCTTATACAGTAGATTCTGGCAAGTTAAGGCATCATATTTTTCGAGTACAAAAGATTTACATGAATATTTAGGCGTCAGAAAGCTTAGTTCCAGATCAGGGTTTCTCAAAGTAGTGTAGGCGAACTCCTACGGGTTCGTCATTCGATTTTAGGGGACTCGCGATTAAATTTAGGTGGCTCGATAATTTGACGATGCAGGTTAAAAGTGACCAAAATCCTACTAACATTATAAATGGGAAAGTTTGTGACGTATGTTTTGTATGGATGTACTGAACAGATTTTGATGAAATTTGGTATACCTGCAGATAATTCTAAGCCTGAATTAAAATATAGGGTGCTTTTTATAGCACTAAAACATGAAGTAGCTAAAGGATCGCGCGTGCGAAATCGCTGGCGGTAAGCTAGTTACTAATAAAATTCTATCAGCTTGCGATAAATAACAATGGGGGTGTTATCACATCACTGCTCAACAATCATATACATACAGAGATGCAAAGGAAATTGTCGAAGGAAAATGGTTTGTTGATAAATTGGTAAGTAAGATGACCGGACGGGTGACCAATAAATTACTATTTTGATCTACTCCGTGCTTCGGAAGGCACGTTAAGCCGTTGGTCCCGGCTGCATTTTGCAGTCGTTAATACTCATGGCCCATCCTCCTTAACCATCTATAAGAAAGGTCTGAGCCCCTGCAGTGGGAACGTAAAAAGGCTGATGATGATGATGAGATGCATTTCGCCAATTTTGTTATAGTGAAAGGGAACGGATGCTTCTATTTATTTAGTACTGCCACATAACAAATATTAATACATTTAATTATAACTTATTCTAAATAAAAAAAATGTCAGATATATGTCACAATTAAGGCGTACATAGCATTCGCAGTCAATTAAATTGGAGTCAGATGAGTTTGTGATATAAAATAATTAATTAAAAATTCATTAAAATTATTTTAAATATTATAAGAAATTTTAACTAAATAAATTGGATAAGCATAAATTAAAAATAAAATCAATAATAAAAATCCAAATTCAATCGAGTGGTCAATTATCATTCATATTTATAATTATTTAATCCTCAAAATGGAGAATTTTCAATTTGAATTTCCTCAAACTGTCACCAAATACGTTAAGGCTCAATATATTATTCGATAAATAATTGTAGTCGTTACAAATTCGTGCCATAGGAGACTGTTTACCCAAATCGGTTATAGCGAAGTGCGTTACTAATGTTTTGACAACGCAGTGTCTTGGATACTGAAAACGGCACTGGAAGCGACATGCGTAACATAAGTTCGCCGCATTGTATTATTCCACCAACAATTTTGTAAGCAAAACACATATGCAATAGACGTCTGCGTTTACGAAAACTGGTAAGCTTGAATTTAATTAGCAGTTATACATATAGTTGTCTATGAGAGAAGCCACTGGTGCAGAAAGCAAGGTGCCTAGTGAAAGCCCTTCGAAAGACCTCAATTCTCTGAGAATATACGCTATAATATGGACTAAAAATACAAGAAGCATATTACAGATGACTCCAAGCCAAAGCACTATGCAGATGAATTTTGGTACCGATCCTAGTAAACTGTTGAGTATTACGTTTCATAAATCCTAGCATCTCACTAGGCTTTTGTTACTATTGGATCTACATGCAAATCAAACTTCAGTCCACTGTCTAAGACAACACCAAGGTCACGAACAGCATCCACTTGATTAAGCTTTACGCCACCCAGCTCATAGCTTGTCACAAAAGATTTTCTCTTCCTGGAATATTTAATATGAATTTTCAATTCTAAAAGCCATACAGTTTACCCCACACCATTAATATATACTGTCACGGTAATCCTGAACATATTTATTATCGAGAGGAGACCTCACTGTTCTATATAATTTTAAGTCATCAGCAAACAAAAAAGCTTTGCAGTTCCTTACGCTGGCAATTATGTCATTGATATATATTTAAAAGAGTAATAAGCCTAGATGTAAACCTTGGGGCACACCTGATTTAACAAAGTACTACACATATATTTTTTAAATTATGCACCTCGGTATATTTTGTGTTTACGAATTTAATCGATCAAGAAACCAATGTGTGATCATCGTTTTAGCCGCCAAAACTCGTCAGTACCTCGACTGTGATGGAAGTGACAGCACGCAATATTTCAGTATTAAGAATTGTATAGAGCTGTAATACGCCAAATTACCTTATTTAAAAAAAGAGGTACTTAATTTATGAGACAAAATTTTACCACCAAATCATTCAGATTTTAACCCCAACGAGAATATTTGGTCCCAAATAAAGGGGCACGTAGCGAAAAAAAAATGTTGCCATGAATGTGACCTCGGTAAAAGAACTTATATTAGTAAAAGTTAATATGATAGGACCCGACGAATGGAAGAAAGTATGTGATCATGCTATCTAGTGTGAGGATGAGTACCGGAAATTTGAGCCTGTGTTTAATAACCATTCGAATAGATTTATTTTAAACATTGGTTCCAGCAGCGACAGTAATGTTTCTGAGTCTGAAATGTCGCGTATAGAAGTCATATCAAATTGTGATCAATTGATAAATTTATATTAATTGATGAATTGTGTTTTATTAAAAAAACTGTTCTACTTACTTCAGAAACTTATTTAGTTAGTAGAACCGATTTATCTTAATTCGATTTTCTTTAATCTGGGGTTTTCATTTTGGTATCAACTGATGGCAAGAAACACAGTATGCTAACAGCAGGTAAACAAGAAAGATTCGAAATAGGCCTATAATTCTTTATGCAGCCACGATCACCCTTTTTGTAAACAGGAACAACGCGAGCCTTCTTCCATTCATCGGGAAAGCAACCATCTCTAAGGGATTTGTTGAAAATTATGGTAAAAGGTAACACGCTTGAAAAGTGGGGGAATTGAATCAGCTTCGGCTCTCTTAGTAATGTCAAGTTTTCTAATTATTTTTACTACTTCTAACTCCAATACTCCCAAATTAGCTTTATGTCCGTTTTCTGTGATAGTTGATTCAGAGCCAATCAGTCGAGTACATTGACGAGAAATATCGAACAAACAAGTTAATCGCATACTTGCAAGTAAGGCGGACTGTCCGTCAGGTTTACTCTTTATAAAGTTTCAGAAAGCTTTTGGGTTGTTAGGGATATCTTTTTCAATCATTTGTAAATAATCTCTTAACATTTAGCTTGTAACTTATGACCATGATTTCGAAGTAATTTAAACTACCTCATTCCTAGGATTTGAATATTTGAATCTTTAAGGTACTTTATTTTTCTCAGCCAAAAGCTCAACCAGAGCACGACTTAGCCATCCAGGACGATTTCGTCTATAATAAATGACCTTTGGCACGAACTTCTTTCTTACTTCATTTAAAGTTTGATAAAATCCAGAAACTATGTCATTTACATTATCACAATCATGGAAAAGCAAATTCCAGTGATTCGATTTCAAACTAATCACAATAATAAAATAGTCTGCTTTATAATAATTAAATACTGCTTATCTTTTCGGTTTCAAACAGCACTTATAAAAGGAGGGAACATCAACTGTAAATTAGGATGAATCCCATACTCTTTGTTCAAACCTTCTAATGGTTTTGTAACATAAACATTTCGAATATCTCAGATTTGGATCTAGGAAATGATTATTATCATTACATAAAATATTAAATTGGTAAATATTATTTGATGACATGAAATCAACAAAAATGAAACCCAATCTCGAACTGTAATTCGATGGAGCCATACAGTCTTCTACGTCACTCCAATTGATAAAACTAAGATTAAAATCACCAACGATCACCAAACTGTCGCATTGATTTAATGCCATCTCAACCTTATCTAAGAATTGCTTTAAGGTCTATAATGTCACTGTCGAACTAAAAGCGATTTAAATGAATGACCAACGGAAAACTTCACCCAAATACACTCATAGGCACCTTCGAGAATCTCGACACGAGAAGAAGGAATTTCACGTGAAACCGCCAAAAGTACTACACCTTCCGTTCTTACGATAAACTATATATCTGACATCGAACATTTCATTTGAAGACAACCGGGAGTTCAGCCACGTTTCCGTTAAAGCTATCACGTTACAACATTTTTATATAAATCATTGGTTTTTTTTACAAAGTCCTTGAACATTTTGATAGTATAATTCCAAATTTTGGCAGTTTAAACGCCATTTTCACTAGAACTGGAATCGAATTGATGTAAGTTGTGTAACTAGTTCTCTTAACTCCTTTTGCACAAGGAATTTTGACGCGTTAATTAATTGTCACTTTTAGCTCTGTTTCAAACGGTATTAACTTGTTAAACAATATCACAAACGGCAAACTGGATGAATAATGTCGTGTTCTTCTTTTTCGCTGTCGCCTCTTTCTTTCTGGATAAATAATACTCTGCAACAATTTGAACACTCGCAGGATTCGCCATGTCTGTACATGTCTGTTCTGGTGATTTTTCATGTAAATTATGGAAACTTAAAATTCCTTTTGTGAACCCTGATGACGCCGTGACTCGGTTTCGAAAAGCGTGAAAGTAATCCTCTAAGAATAACGGACAACTGCTTTAGAAAGTAACCGAGACTACTTCGACAAGCAATCGAAATATTAACAAGTATTAGGTCTTTCACATGTTTTCTAAAACATCTTCAGTGTCACCCACGTTTAGCCCATGTCACTAACATGTGTTAATTTTCACAATTAAATATAACATTTCTAAAGGAAATTTAATATAAGTATTCGAGACAAATTTATATATCTGATTAGTATTATGGCTGCTGCACACATGCCGGTGCCGTGCCATTTTTTTTTTCTAACATCGACCACCCTCGCCCGTGCTGCGCCGGCGGCATATATGTGGAAGCCATAACACATGAAATATATTTTTATCCTTATTTATATCGATATTGCCGTTTAATCTCACTTCTAGGGACAAAACAAATTGTTGTTCTCGTTAAATATTTTTGACAAACCACTAATAATGGTACCACTAATGGTATTCTCAATATCTAACAAATATAGTTGCTATAACAGATCAAGCGGATCACGTCCGATAGTCGGTTGTATCCACCAATGATAGTGTTCGGTCTGCCATTGTAGAAGTTAAGCAACATTTGGTACAGAACAAATCAACATTATTATAGCGAGCTGGCACTGGTCCCGGCCGCATTTGCGATCGTTAACACCCATCTATCCGCGGGAGCAAATTCTCTTCATGTTATTATACCCACAGGGAAGTTTTGTGCCTGAACAATGGGGACATTAAGGGTCGGTACATGTATGACACCAGATATGTGTTACATACATTCTGTTGGATATAAACACTAGCCTCAGAAATACGCCAGCGTTTTACTGAAATCGCATGGCATAACAAAACAATGCTTTGTTACAATAATTCAGTCGCCTATAGGCAAGAGTAGTACTATAGAAACTATATTATTGTATAATTCCATATTTGTATAGTTAGTAGCCATCTTCAGTGGCGAAATTATTGTAGAACACAGACAGTTTTAAAACAGACACAAGCAGACGACGGCAGCGTCAGACATTTTATATGATCATATTACATATTACTCGCATAGCATTACAATTGTAAACTTTCTAACATCACCTAAAGTAACTCTTACGAGACTACTAATTTAGCTTAACTCACAAATATATCTGAAGGCGGTTTATTTGTTAAATGTGTTGTCTGATTATGAATTTGTTAGTTCGTATGTTATGTTTGAGTTTTCGAAATTTCTCCAAAGACAGTATCGAATTTCTGAAAGGAGAGCAGCTCCCGGAAGAATAAAGAGAGCTATTTATATTTGTAATATATAAACAAAGATTCAAAGCGATAGACGATAGGTATATGAGGTATCGACAGATAAAAAGACAAATTAAATCTGATACTGAGCGAACTAGCGACACACCCTCGCCCGCACGTCCGTCGGTGTGGCAGCAGTTCAACATTCTTGTTACTGTTTGATATCGCTTAGCTGGAACCTCAAGTAATACTCATCGGAGCGTAACTGTGTGTACTTAAATCGACCTCATTAAATACGTAAAATATAATAACAATACGGTTCATGCGATTTGAACCTTAACAATTTCTATATAATTAATTCATAATCAAATTATTCGTTAGAAATATACTTTATTAGCTAGCTACAACTAGCTATTTTCCGTCACCCGCTTATTATGTAGCCATGTGCTGACGTGTACAATAGAATTATTAGTTAATATTCTACAATTACATATATATGCAGTTACATAAAGTTTACCTTGCCAATCTACTAAGGCTGTAATATACTAACTATAATTTTAAAACAAAAATAACTACTACATTAGACAACATGATATACATTGCTCAGATCTCAAACTACATCTTGTATTATTTTATTGATGTTCGAAAAAACAAATTACACGATAAAATAAAAGTAATATAAACAATGTCGCAAATCAATTAAGTTTCTATGGAAAGAGAGTGAAACGTGCTAATAACATAAAATAAATTAAAAAAAAAATTGGATTAAACATTGTAAAATGAAAATTATACATTGTATAAAAAATTATAATTTCTCTCAGTTTTTTTTTTATAAACATAAATACTGTCATTAAAAATGTCAATTGAATTAAATTTGTAAGTGTAATTACTACACGATCTACATAAAAATGTGTTAGGTTATGAAAAAATTGAAAATACCCAAGCAACGCCCAGAGACAACATACAAAAGTGCCGACTGAGAGAATCGAACCCAAGAAATGGATACAGATTGAAACTTGTGTACGAGGAAATTTTCATCAATAAAAAAATTACAATAAAATTAATAAAAAGTAAATAAAAAAGTCGCTATACAATGTCAATGGCATAGAAATCAAGCAATAACAAAAACAGTCGCGTCAAATTCGTTCAAAATATAACATTCATATTGATACTAAAACACCAAGTAATATCTGCTTTGTAAAATTTCCTTTCGCAAAGTAAAAAGCAACATGTTTCTGTTTTATATAGTTTAAGTAGGTTCATCTGAATCTGAATCTGCAAAGGTTCAACCGGTCATGGGATGGGTGGCCAAAAGTTCATTATCTCCACCTCGTCCGTACTCCGGAAGGCGCTCTAAGCCGTTGGTGGCGGCCGCATATCTCGTATGCGGTAGTCAACACGCGCTAATCCGCACTAGACTGGTCATGTCTGGTATGTTTATGGATACTAGACCCTTTGTAAATCTATTCATGAAGAAGGCATATACCCCATCAGTGAGGATATCAGTAGACTGATGATGATCTTTCATACATTGGGAATAGAGAAGATTTTCTATGTGCAACGTAACACTACAATGCCCGTACGACATCACCACTTCTCTCACTATTTATAATATATAACCTACAGTATTAATAAAATTTGGTTATCTTGTCTTGTTTACCATTCACAGTGGCTTTACGTGCATATTGGTTTACGATCACCTTGCATATAATTACAGTACAACATTACATTTCTTGAACACGAGATAACAGAACAATCGCATAAGCGTCATAACAATATTATACAAAATGAATTCGCGGACAGTTTTCATAATTTTTTGCCAGGTATTAGGTGTTTTTGTAGGTCATAGCATTATTTTCATATGTAATATAAAAAGTTAATGAAGTTGATCTGAGACTTCGTTTGTGTAATTGATTTATGATAGATATTGCAAACTGGGCGTTTATCACGAATCCAACACAATATGGATTCAAAAATATGGAATCAGACATAATCTGTGCATTTAAATAAATATTTTGTATTCGCATACATCTAAATTGGCACGTTCGTGTTAGGAACAGTATAGAGTGCAGCACCAGCAACATTTTAAAATTAAATAATTATACACACTTTATTCTAACATACATACAATACATGCTTTTAAACCGCTATGTTATATTCGAAATTCATGTGGGTTTCAATGTAAAAAAAAAATGTCACATGTCAGTGCAATATAAATATTTTAAAATAAAACTTATAAAATACAAATATTATTTAATTATTAAGTCCGTTACCTGAAATGGAAGAACACCTCCTTGGAGTGATCCGAAGTTTCGATGAACCCGAATCCGTCCTTGAGTGCCGCTATGAACCCCTGGAGCACGGGCCGCGCGCCCCCCGCGCCCGCCCCCGCCCCCACACCGGCCCCGGCCGCGCCCGCGCCGCCCCCGCCCCCGTTCGACAGACCGGAAGATATGTTCACGCACGCCGCCACCAGTTCCTTAGTACGCTTCACCTGTCGACACACAAACACTCATAACGCTATGATATGGTACAAACACAAACGGGCGCACTATTAAAGTATTAAACTTTCGCCTTGTGTTGACCGTTGGAAATGACGTCATACTTATTATTAGTATGACGTCATTTCCATAAAAATAATGATTGTTTCGTATCACAATAATTTTGCAATTGACAAATATGTCTCGAATTCACATTCCATTATTTAGCATTTCTTTGCATTATTATTGCATTGACATGAAATGGTACAATTATTCTGTACATATATTGTCAGTGCGGCCGCATATGTACCTGAGACTTCGTTTGTGTAACAAGAAACAAATGAAGAATCCTAGATACTGAAACGAAATGACTTATGATAGAAGAAAATGCTCCCTCTGCTCTGTTATTTTGTTACAGCCTTTCCAATCAATATATTCTTACAGTGATCGTCCACGGAATTGACTTTAATGATTACTTACGGTAAAACATATAATAATAATACAAACAAACAAAATAAAAAGAGAATAGAGGTTAATTTTTATACAATACAATACATATACCATATCCAGTAATTTTCCTATATTTCACATCTCATTAGTAATAACAAATATTTACGTTATATTTAAGCTAAATGGACGTTTGCCTAAAAATGCATTTCAATTAAACTCTCACATACATATGTGTCATGCATGTCTGAAACCTATCAGTTTCATACATATTTGCAAGTTGCATTGTATCAGGATCGGAATATATTTGTTCTATACAAATATATATGCGTAATGGCATTATAAGACAGCTAGTTGTACATTTTTGAATTGTGCATTAAAGCATAAATAAACATAAACGAAACAACATAAAAACATTTCCTCCATCAAAGCAAGCAGTTGATGCATCAGATTGAGAACGTTTCTTTTAAAGTCCAGTTACAAATCTTACAATAACAACGTTAAATATAGCTCATACAATTTGCACAAAGTAGCGAGGGGGACATGTACCTGATATATGTCGAAGGTGACCTTGTCGCCGACGCGCGGCAACATCTTGGACTCGCACTTTTTGGTAGAGAACGAAACCGACTTCTTCACACCGTTAATTTGGCACGTGATGATGCCATTATACTCCTAAACAAATATTATGGTCCAATCAATATTGACCTTGTGGTTTTATTAAAAATAAATAAATACACTTATTTGATTAAATAATTATTAGAACATCTTGTACAATTACTAAGTGAAATAGTACATTATCTTCAAATAATTTATTGTAATAACAACTTTCATGTAATAGACGAGTGGTACGTGATCGAACAATAGACTCAAATCATCTACTTGCCAGCCTCACAACAATTTATTTAATAAACGAAGCCGAAAGATACCACATATATAAGATTTTCTAGATTAGCAGTTCTCAAACGGTCTGGCAATGAAACCCTTTTAAAAACCGAGTCTTAAAATAAAACAAAACCTAGTGTTATATGTACCTACTATTCATTAATAGTAAATTATATACATCCTTTGATACAACAAAAATTATTAACCCAAATATATTTTAGTGAATTCAAACATTTTAGTGAAAATATTTGACCCCCACACTTTGAGGAACGCCGATATAGATTAACCGTCTAAAGACTGTTTTTAAGCGAGGCTAAAAAATTGACAATGACACAGATATGTGAACGTCGAAAGAATGTGATACATATCGCTACCCGGCACTATACAAACAACTCGGCATGGTTTCCGAATGGAGTGTGAATGAATCTATAGAATGCGACGGTTTTGATATCTATCGTTTGCGTAATAATACTTCAGATCCTTGTCTATTTTTCTCGTGCTCTAGGAACAGAACACGGCACTGTACGTGTAGGTGTATGTACCTGTGACGGTGTCCTGGTGGGGCTGCCGTTGTTGGGGGCCGGCGGCGGCACCTGCGCCTCCTTCTGGACGAGGCCGCGCACGCCGCGCTCCACCAGCGTCTCGAACGAGACGGAGCCCGCGGGCAGGTGTTTGATGCGGATCGCCGACTGACGGGTGTTGTTAGCGGAGAACGTCGACACAGGATCCACGGTGAACTCCACCTGCGCACACCGCACCACATCACACGTATACCGTTTACCGTCGAGCGATCCTCGGAGACCATCTACCACTTTACCGCATACCTCGTCACCGACGCTGAGCTCGTGCCCGAGACGCAGAACTTCGGCGAAATGAAAGAACATGGTGTGCTCCCTCTCCACGCAGCGGATGAACCCGAAACCCTCGCGGAGGATGCACACGACGCCCTGCTCGCGGCTGCACATATTCAGTACTCATATTGAATTCATCGAAATCGACAAAGCGCAACGCATCAGACTCGTTCTGAACGACACTCGATAGATGCTAGAATTATTGTTTTCCATAATTCTATTGTGCTCTGCATTTAAAGTACAATATATACTGACCGTTCGCCGGAGACGTTGAAGGACTCGTCGAGCAGGGAAATATTGGTCGCGCGCTTGAGTTGGTCGCGGCGGTCGGTGGCTACCTGGAACTGCACCCAGTCGCCGTGTCGCAGCGTGAACTCGCCACACTGGTCCTTGTCACCGAACGGCACCTCGACCTCCGAGTGGTCGGCGGCACGGTACCGGATGCGCCCCGGCAGCGGGTCGTTCTGAGCGGCGCGCTGCATGCTGCCCCGCTCCAGAGGCTTCAACACTTGTCCGCGCATTATCTCGGGGCTCACGTCCTCGAACACAACTGAACCGCTCGGTAACTTGGTTATGTTGCACGCCACTTCCTTGCCCTGCCCAAACCACTCACGTTACGACCGCCGGATGCAGGCACACATGTAATAATACTACACAAACAAAAGCTTATCTTACGTTTCTGGTTTGGATTATAAATTCGACGTCATCTCCTAAACTTAATTCCTCCTCGGTTTTGGCTTCAGAGTAATGAAAGAATATTTCTTTTACGACATCGGCTCTTTCGATAAAGCCAAAGTTTTCCTTCATAGAACAAACTACCCCATGGTACTTCACCGGATGAACAGGATTTTCAAAACGCACGTGACAGGCGCCCAAGGTACCCCTAAAAACAAAACATCCAAGTCACTAATGTGGACTTTCATTCATCGAGCAGTTATTATTTAGTGAAAATAACCTTTGATTAGTAGCGATTTGGAAACTGACGGCGTCTCCCGTGTGCAGAATCACATTACCCTCGACGTCATCTTTCGTATACGGCAAGAAGAAACATTCGCCACGGTTTTCGTATGAGATCCTACCGGTGTTATCACCAGAACCTTCTCCCTTCACCTCAGTTGTAACAGTACCCGTCACACGGGCCTCACTCAGCACCTTGTATTCATAAATTCCATTTTAACAAATAACCTAATTATTCTATCTGATCAATTTTGTATTTACGATATTGTAGAGTACTTTGAATGAGAATCCTTTATTACACAACCACACACTACAATGTATAATATAAAAAAATAAAATATATAACAAACATACCACTTCAGGTGCAATCTTGGTTACAGTAGATGCTATCGGTTTCCCAGTGCGTCGGTCATATGTCATTTCAAATTCAACAGGATCACCGATTTTAAGATGTTCAATGTTACCACTAAACTGACTAAAGTGAAAGAACAAACGTGCTTGTCGCTCACAGCACTGGATGAATCCATATGAATGCTAAAAAATCATAGTTACCGTCAGATTTATATTGCATTACATTACAGAATTCAGTCGGGTTGGCATATTCAATTTGGTAATACCAATGAGTAAACTATAATTACAAATGAAACTACCAAACTAAATGTGCTCACCTATTTATTATCAATGAATGAAATTTATTGAACACATACACCATTTAACAATATGTGTATCACTTTTAAAATTTTGAAAATATATTAAAGTTAGAAAGAAATTGTTTTGCTCAACATTTAGGTAATTAATTTATTGTAAACCAGCTGAATCTGCTACTTTGTTCCACAAAGATTTTATATGACAAAATGAAATTGTTGCTGATACTATTTTTTTGCCAATTCTTTGTATTTTCTCACCTTTGAAAACCCAAATTAGCCATATTGATTTTCCCTTTTTTAATGAGTCTAACAAATGTTATTTCATTTTTAACAAGTATATAAACCCCATTTAAATTGTTATTGTATTATTTGCATATATAATAAAAAATAACAACATCTGGGATGGGTATATACTCTTTGTGATTATTTTAACCTTTCTTTATATAAAAAAATAAAACATAGATTTAATAAACTCTACATAATAATGAACTTAGGTGACGGCTAATAACAACATGTCGTCATTATGGTTGTTGTGAAGAACAACGACAATGACGACATCACTTCACTACAACCACCACTACTCTGTCAAGAGCGGCACAACTGTGAAAAGGTACTATTGTATTGGTAAGTACTGGGCAGGTTGTTCGAAAATAATGCAGGTGACAACTATTTTTCTATTTGGGCATACCTTTATGAAATACTTAACCATACAGTATTAACTTGTGTAAAAAGATGAAGTATCTCTTACCTGTCAAATTATGGTATTTGGATATATGAAAGTATTAATAACCGTAGTTTAAATAATAAGAAATTGTAGAAAATTTTGGAAAAACAAATTGCCAGTAACTGGCTCAGAATTATCAAGGTGCAGAATTGGCATTGGTTGCAATTTAAAAACTCGAATCTTGAGTTTATTGAAAAAATAAAATTAATAAAATACTACAAACTCTTGTTTTGAGTGTACATTAAACAATAGTGTTGACAGATTAAGTAATTTTTAAATTATATTCAAATACAAGCAGAAAAAATCATTTTGGGAACGCGGGAATGCTCAATATATGATATTCAACAAAAACTTCAAAATAATAATGAAAAATCAAACTATTTAAACATGTAAAAATTTAGGTTTAGTAGTATATTTACATCTTGAAATAAAATATATTTAAGTGGTAAGGACCTTTCAGTTTATTATTCCTTGAGCGTACATTAATTGTCTGTCAATTCGGGAATATGTTTATTGACATGTAAATAACAAAGTAACCTAAATCCTCCGGAATTACGCAAACGACTCTATATAACGAAGTATTGATTACGCAGTTGCAAGAAAAGGCTAACAATGCATTTCCAAAAAACTCTAAGGAGAGAGAAGTTTTTCATAAATTTTTCAATGGAAATACAATATTCTTTATATGGACAAGAAGTTTTTTCCTGCTAAACCAAAGGAGAGGAACTATAATTCAATTTTAAAGTCTGATGCCAAAACTCGTCAAATTGTTTTGAAGCCCGAGGTTCGCCAAAAGATTATTAATTTCTTCAAACGAGACGAGACAATAAGAGTATTAAAAAATACAAAGGCATGTGCTCTTCTTCAAATTAAAGACCTGGTATCAAATTTGTAAAAGAAACTTGATTTTTTCTGTTACACATGACAGTATTAAGAGCACAATCATTTTGATCCAAAATTAAATGCATTTTGCAAAATGAAAATATGTTAAAGAGCTTAAACATGCACTTATATAAAAGTTTATAGAACCATACACTTGTGATATTACGTCTCATGGCTGCATGAATAGTTTATATGAAAAATGTAAAATTGCTGAGTTTGAATTAGGAGACAATAGAGATTCTTTGACATATTTTATATGAAACTTCATTCAAGGAGATAAAATTGTAAGAGTTGAGAATTTGTTTTAACATAACACAAAAAGTTCCAATATTGTGTTCAGTGAAAGAATTGAAAATTGCTTTATTTAAAGATATTCCGGATATAAAGAAATGCTAATACAGCATAAAAATCATTTGCATCAGTAAGTGAAAATTTAGATCATCATATGAAAACAATATTGACAACCATTTTAGAAAACAAAAATGACACACTTCATATTTCCTCTGATGGTTCAACCTTGCAGTATCAGAACCAAACAATTATAACTCTTTGGAAACAAACATTGATTAATCATTTTTAACAAGTCACTAAATCTAATTGGCTTTTTTGGAAGCCTGGACATAGTAAGGACCCTACGGATGCTGTTGGAAGATTCCTTAAATGAACAGCTGACCATCACATCTTGTTGGGATATGACATTAGAACTGCTTCAGAATTCATTATTTGTTCAAAATTTATCTTTCTTTTATCTAAGTAAAGGTAATCCCAGAAGAAAATGTGATTGAGGAAAAAAAAATTCCAAACCCTTTGGATGCCGTTATCCCAACACCACAGATGAAAGAACAAGCAAATAGAGAATATTATTATTTAGATAATTATATTGATGTTATCGAAAAATATTAAGTTACAGAATTTATTTTTTATTTCTTATGAGGCCTATATATTTTTTAATTATTTGTAGAAGTTTAGAGAAGTTGCACTAGACTGATTATAATTACATCAAAAGACTTAATTATAAGACTAGACTAATAGTAAAAGCATTTTTCCTTAAGTACAGACAATATGGCAATATAAATAAATAACTTTGTTATTAAAATCTTTGTTTATAACTTAAATATTTCCTTCCTATTAAAAATATCATTCTGTGAACATGTTTGTATAAACGGTGTATCGTTTCTGAAATCATAGTTTTTAGAATAATTTATATAAAAGTAATTTTAAAAAATCAACTATCTTTCCCTCTATTCATGGAATGTTAATTTGATAATAATTGATTTGGACATTTCAAAATTTCTTAAATATTATGTGTGATAATAGCAACTTATTTATTGTTAAATTTAATCTAATATTAGTAAACAATAATATCAAAATTGATACTACAACCTTAAAACAGTATTTTAACCTTATTATACTACTTTATGGTTAGGTTCTTGAATAATATCAATATCTAATTCACTATATTGTTTAAGTTTATTGTGAAATAGATATATCTGTATTAAAAAAATGTATTGTTGCAAATCCAGAACACACAAAACACAACTAGATATTCATTGTTCTAGAATAGTGGAATGTTACCAAGAGATACACATTTATGTCAGTTTTTAAAGGCTTTTCTAATCTTATAATTGTTATTGATAGTGATCTGCAGTTTAATACTATAGCACTAAATTTACTACTATGGCTATGTAATTACAGATTTGAATAAATTTAAATACATAAATCAAAGTAACAAATAATGACATACCAACAGCTTCTCAATAATGCCAGTTTCTCTTATAGGAGGGTGGTTCATGGAGTCATATTGGGATGATGAATTATTAGTTGATCCAGATGAGTATACTCCCACAGAGTCACCCATGGGGCATCCGTCTAAGTTGTAATTTCCAAGGTTAAATCGGTTACCACCACTTGTCTTGCCTATGTTGCTGAAGTTGTCTCTTGGTGAACTAGGGTACTCACTGCTGAATGTACCTAAAATTATATTAATGGCTTACTATGTGCACTCTCACTGTATTATTTGTGATTTTCTCATCTTTCTCTATGCACTTACCATTACGGTAGGCTTGCTTTGCCTGCATGTTTGAATGCTGGAGATCAAGTATGTCTTGCAGGGGAGACGGGTGGGAATCTGGCGGCTGGAACATCTTCCACTGAGGATTGCTGGACATGGTTGCTTGTATATGGGTCGAAAATCTCAGTTCTATTTAATCAATATATCACAGAAAATCGCGTGGTGTTAATGTTCCTAATTAGCAATAGTAAATTTCAAATCAAATCACATTTTCTTAGTCTTTGTGTTCAGCGGAACACCACCGAGCGTTTAGTTTAATCACGTTTTAAACACCAAACCACAATTTTGTTGAAAATAAACTATAATAATGTTAAAATAGATCCTCAGATGTCTTCAATGCTTGCTGAGTCTGAGCTTCGAGTTGCATTCGTACGGTGGTTGAAATGAGGGTATGTTATCGTATAATTCGGTTATTATCTGATATACGTCTATCCGACATTCACAAGCTGCAATGAACACTTTGGTTAATATCAGGAAATACTTCGCAAAATAATGCAAAATACTAGCGACACTCGCAATTATAAGAACAAAGCATCATATTGGAACATCATTCTACATTTTAGTATTGCTATCTAGGTAGATATTGGTCGCCCCAACAGGCCGATGTGCAAAATTATAACGCCGTACAAGTCTCCGCACATACGATTATTTGCATTAAGGCAAATTGCTTTTTCCGAACAATACTATACACTGATAACTGGTTTTTACTAAACTTAAACGTATATATTTAGAAAGAAACAGTTGCAAAAATCAAGAAATTAACAAATCTCACCACGACACAGCACAGCACTGACGACATACCGCCATATTGAATGTCAACATTATCGCTTTGATTCATCCATACACAAAACTTATATTTATTTTTAAAATAATGTTGTATAAATAATTAAAATTATTATGGTCTAAGAAAGACGGATCAATATGAATTTTATAATTTTGTGCTTGTTTTTGTCTAAATACGAGAGACTATCGTGAGGATTTGATTTTTCTTTTATTTTTTGACTGGTAATAAAGTAGTCATTATTTCTTTATGTCAGTGGAGGTTGTCATTGCTATGTCACAATTTATTTAAAAAAGTTGTGACCCACCAGTATTTGCGATATTAAGTTAACCTTTCGTGATACCCAGCCCGAACACAATACATAATTTATTAATACTATTTACTTTTGTATTTTGTTTTTAAACATATAAGTACATACTAAAAAAAAATGTTACTTTAGATTGAACCACACACTACATAGGTCTACAGAGCCCCATATAATAAAGTACTCTTTGCATCTAACGAACTACAATGAACTACATTTCATTTTTATATTATCTAAATTGTATTGCCCAGAAAAAAAGTACCTATATATTTCTATATAAAAATTAAAAATTATCAAAAAAAGAAGGAAATTATAGTAACACTGCTTTTGACCGCAACAGGTTATTGACCTTAAGCCATAGACTAATTTCTATTACTTCATTGTTCAGTGTTGCCATATACTATTATGATTTTCCCCGCCAAGCCTCACAGCAAATACCCCAAAAAACCAGTATAGAATTTGTCCTTTTATTTAATTATAATATAAAACAGTTAGTCTATGGGACAAATACAAATCTACTGGTAAAATAGAAAAGTTGGTAATACTGAACTGAATAGTCAACGGCTTTTAGCGTTGTCAATACTGTAATGGAAAAGTAACCAGAAAGAGCTTTTACATAAGAAAAGTCCCAACAAATTAAAAATGAAGAAAATATAAAAAAGTATAGTTAATTTAAAAGGACAAATTTTGAAGCAGCAAAGCATGACAAAACAACTGATTCAGTATGTAGCGTATAAGCCTATAGGACCATTCATACGACTAACTCTCGTCAAGCGTGAGTAAGACAAACAGGAACACCACGTTGTATTTGACACGTTATGGTTATTTAAGAAAGTATGTAATAGATGAATATATTGAAGTAATGTTCCAATTTAAAATGAGTATCAGCCTCGTAGTGATTTATGTTTAGTCATTATGGAAATCCCTCCATTTGCCGAATCCGTTCACTTCCCTTCAACAACTAAAAAATTAAAAAGAAATCATAAAATAAAACAAAAAACATAATTTCTATTCGTCCTTCATTTACCCCTCCCCACCACCCGCTATAAAAAAATAACAAATTTGGGGGGAATCCCCTCAATCTAGCAACAGTGTCATTGTTATATGTATTGTTGATCAAAGACTTCATTCGAGATCCATCGCCATCTTTCATTCATTTCATTTTCATTTTACATGTAGAAATTTATTTATTTACTTGACATTGGCAGAATTGTGCGAAATGCGCAGATAAGCCATTAATAAAAGAAGAATGAAAAAGACTTCATTCCATATTGTCAATGGTTCATACCCGATTACAAAAAAGCAAAAAAGTGAATTATGGTAAAGTTCGTTTCACGAAAGTAATCCCTCAGATCACAATGTTTTCGCTTTAGAGATAGGGTAATGCAATATCGGAAAGTTTAGATTTTTTTGTGGTTTTCATAAGACTTAATGGTTTTTATTGTTGAAGTCTGTACAGCTTGGATCATAAACATTAATATGAGAAAACTGGAGAAAACCAATTTATTTGCCTCTTAGTTTATGACGACAACCAAAGACAAAATGTTATTGATTTCTGTCGCCATTTGTTACGCAATATTAACCAACTAAATAAAGAAAGTATTTATTTTCGTATAATCTCATAAAAAATAAGGGCATTTCTTTCACAGTCAGTTTTTATTACTCGGCGACTGATGATGTCCGTTAAACGTACAGTTGCCAAACAAAGTTACGGAGGGAAACATCAAAATAATATGAAAAGTTTATTTGTGTAATGGAATTAAATCGACTTTTTCAATACAACTGTCTGGTTATAATGTGAAGTTCTTTTTCCATACTTGTTCTAACAAGAAGTTTAAAAATATAGCGTTAAGTTTCCGCGAACAGTATTTGAAATGGAAGAATTGCGGTCCAAACATAAGGGTATTCAAAGTGCGGCTCATCACATCGCTTTGGAGTGTATTCATCCACAGGTATGCTTATTGTGTTGATTTAAAAGGTTTCTACTTTTAATAATATATTAAGATTTATTTTATCACAAAACAAGTATATCAGTTAAACTAGAGGCTCGCATAAATAACAACTACGTTTTATTTCCCGCGACATTGCCTGCGTAAATTATAGATTGTCGCTCGCGTATGATGTAGCTTTCCGTAGATGAAGGAAATTGGTCAATTAATTTCGGAGCTAATTGAAATCTATCCTCTTTATTTTATAAGTATGAATAACAGCCAGCATTGATTCGACAGTAACAAACTATCGAACTTGTATGCGAATAAAGCACAGTAAAGTATGCTCTTGCCACCAGCCAAGCATACTGCACCACTGTACAGTTCGGTGTCCTATACACCGAACTGTACAGTGGTGCAGTTTTCTGCTCCTGTTTCAAGATAAACAAACCCAGTGTGATCATATCAAAACTGAAAATCTTGCTATAATTTAAATTAAAAATACATTGAAGATTTTTTTTTATTGGTTGAAATGACGCCATATTTTAAGGACTTGTTTAATGTGGAAAATAATATACATATTTATTTATAACATATTTTGGCCTTGACAAAATGGGTTTGATTCACACCTCAGGTTTGAAATTGAAATTATTGCAGAAAGAAATGTGAGAGATTACTTACTTTAATTAATTCTTTCAAGGCCAAAATATGTTATAAATGTATAAATAAATATATATATATTATTTTTCACATTAAGCAAGTCTTTAAAACCTGGAGTGGGTTCGAGTCCCACCTCAGAGTATCTGGATTATTAAACAATTTATTATACTGTTTTAGAACAATATGTGTCCGACGGGAGTCCAATCCAAAACTGATTTTTTTCAATATTATTATTGCGTTCAAGACTCAGTTCTCTATTGCATGACGACAATGCGATAGGAAACGTTTATGTTGCGTTTTTTATTCTAATAGGAACTAATCGAAATTATATTATAACAGTACCTTACTCATAGATCTAAACTCCCTTCGCGCACGCGCACTTCTTGGTGACACCCACTTCGCAATTTCGCCATAACTTCAAAACCAAACATCCAATTATAATTATTCAAAGACCAAATATTATCTACATAAACTGTTCTCAGTGATGAAATAATTAATTTTGATAAGGATTAATAAACAGCATGAGTAAAATAAACGCATTTAAAAGTAGTCTAAAAAAAAATTTTTTTAAATAAAAATATGGTTGTTATGCCTCACTGTATAGATCGTCATATAGTGTGACGCAGACTTTTTTTTACACTTTGTGTGCGAAAACCGAAATATCTTATGGAACCATATTTTTTCTAAAATAAAATATAGCCTATGTTACTTGTGGCTACTGTAGCTTTCGAATGGTGAAAGAATTTTTAAAATCAATCTAGTAGTTTTTGATTATAAATAAACAAACAAACATACAAACAAAGTTGTCCTCTTTATGATATCAGTGTAGATAAGAATGCTTGGACTTAAGATGGTCCAGTATCTGGATATCTGGATTTCTTCTAAACTCATTTTATCTCAAAAGTTATCTTGTTGCCATTATTATTAAATAATCATGTTATCATTATAAGATTTTTTTTAATTTATTTCATTACTCCTATTAGAGCTGGTGAGTTTCTTGCTCGTTCTTCTTATCAGCCAAAAGACGTCCTGAAAGAGTGGAAGGAAAAAAGTTTTGGAGGATTCAAAAGTACTTTTAAGAATAAAGATTATTTTTTCTTTAACTTTGTTATGTGAAGGAAATAAAAGTATGTTATTAATTTAAATTTCAGTAGCTATGAAGAATCGGGATCACAGAACCAACTACTACAATGGAGAGTTACAGATAGACAATAAAGTATATACTTATTTGCTTTTTTTTGTGTGTTCACTAGCTTTTTATGTTATTTAACATTCAACTGAAGCTTTTCTGTACAAAAACGAAAATGACATTAAAGGATTTCCTAAAAATAAATAAATTACTATGTGGTTTTATCTTTATGACAGTCGACACATAGAATTATTTACATAAATTAATATTATTTTATATAAATGGTGAAGTGAAAAGCTTCAGTTACGTTCACAGTGTGATGCACCAGCGATTGTTCACAGTACCGTTTGTCCCATGTCTGTGCTCGGACCAGTCGTCACATGGCTCGCCATACCACGTGCACCCATACCCCTCCCCTGTACGGCTCCAGCATGCCTTCCAGAATCAGAACAGTCCGAAGATGTTCCATCCCAAAGGGCTCAGACCTCACCTTGTAAGTATGCTTTGTGTGCACAATACACATTGTTAAATGTGCCTTCTAGAAAAGGTATGTCTATTGTAGCTGAATATGTATTTCTATATACAAGTCAATAATATATGTCATTGCGATGTTAAGAACTTTTAATGCTTATAAACATGCAACAGATTGATTTTCAGAGATTGTTAATTAATCTTACATTAGTTTGGTTTTGTACAAAAGTTTAAGAAAGAAATTTTTTTATTGATATTCACAAGCAGTAGGTACACAAAGAATACGGGAAATGAAGAAAAAACGTTGAAAGTTTACATGCCATTGTCCACCTAAGTCATCGATCGGTATTGGCATATCAAATTAATCTTGTAAATGTAGGTCTGCTATTTTCCAGTTTCCACAACAAATTTATCTATCTACCATCGTTATCTGTAGGAGGGTCGCGCGTACGGGACACCCAATGAGAGTCCGATCTTGGGGCGGGCGCTGTGCCTCACGCCGCGCGGCAGCCCGCTGCCGGGCCGAGTCTCCCACCTCAGTGACAAGTTCCACGACTCACTCACACTCACCACCGATACGGACGCGCTGCTCGCCAAGATCAGTGCCATGTTTCCTACAGTTAGCGAGACTCACATCAAGATATTGTTGAAGAAGTAAGTAGGTATTTTGTGTCTGGACAAACCATATCTCAACTAACTTATGATATCTTTAAATGGGTATATGACGTATGCATAGAATTCTTTATGTCAATGGTTAAAGGTAAACATCTTATTAGAAATTATGTATTATGTATGTCATTTTTAGGACAAAAACGCTTAAGTAAAATTAATAAATTTTTCGACTTTAAACTCTTCTACTGTAGAGTCATATCACACGCTTACGAAAGGTCGCTGCAAGGACATCCCAGTACGTAAGTGTGACTCCAGAGCATAGAAGGATGTATTCCATGTCCTCCGTCCTCTGATAATGCTTTACACGTTCCGTACACTTTAGAAGAGCAGAATCGGCCCGTACTTAATTATCGATGCAAATGTTCCGCACGGACCAGGTACTACAACCGCGAGGCGGTAGTGATAAGCGCGCTGCAGGTGGAGAAGCACCCTATAACGACCCCTGGTCCGGTGTCGATGTCGCCGTGCGCCGCGGCGTCGCGGCTGCAGCGCGGCGCGGTCGGCGTCTGCTCCGCGCTGCAGTTCGCCGCCGCCGCCAGGGCCGCCAGCGACGTGCACGGCTCCGCCCACTTCACACCGTACACAGGCACACCGCACGGTACATCTCACCTCCTATCCTCTCCGCTGGCTCTACCACAGATGCTTTTCAAAGTAGATTTCCTTGACATTCTTTCCATGCTCGAAAGATTTCACGGTTTATTTATGAATTATTATAAGTATATGGTCTATTTCGCATTCACAGTGCTATGTTAGTAAAATATTACATACAGTAAAATATTCTTAATGAAAAATGTGCCAGGAACCAAGTCGATCTTGATCATAAAGAATGACAAATAACAAATGTTCACTGACCCCCCCCCCCCCCCCCCCTCCCCCACCTGATGAGTTACATCCCTTTTTTTCTGTTTATGACAAAGAGCTCCAGATATTTCGCCATAACTATCAATGTTATATTTGTGTGTGTTTTTTTTTAATTTGTATACCAATCGTACCTGTAATACGTGAAATAGTAATCTATTATATCTTGCTATATTAATATAATTTTGGTTAATTATAAATGTGATTATACATGTGTCAGGATCTCCGTCCTTGTTTCGTCCGGCGTCCGGCGCGTCCAGCTATGGCGGCGGGCGGTCCGTGGACGGACAGTCGCGACACCAATCGCCCAAGATGAAGCTCAAGTAAGTTTCTGATTTGCTATATATTGTTTCTCCAATATAGAAGATTCCACATATTCATACCAACAGAATAACTACATTATATGTAAAAATAATTCAGATATCATATCCTTGAAAGAGTTGAAAAGATAGTGATAACTATGAAGCTTACCTTATGCTTTGTGCATCAATCTTTTAATTACTTTCGTCAGAGTTTGCGTGAAATGTCGGAAATAATAAATAACAGTAAACGAAAAAGTGTAGATTTTTGTTTTCTACAACATTTCTTTAGACTATTACTAGTTGCTTTCCGTGGCTGGCTCAGCCTTTGATTTATATTTTCATTTTGCTGTAAACTGTAGCTTTCGACTTTCCACAGTCTCCCAATTTCTTACAAAAATATTATCGTACTATAACGACGCTCCGTTGCGACGTGAAAGGAGAATAAACAAACACAATTTGTCATGCTACTATAAATTAATTTAAGTATACACGATATGCGTTTTAAAAAAAAAACACCTATGATTATTGTCTTGATTAGATACTTGAAGAGTATATTCCCGAAAGCGGAGGAGACTCTGATTCTAGACGTGTTGGCAAACAAGGACAACAACGTGCAGAAGGCCAGCGAGGAGCTCATCTCCATGGGTTTCCCCAAGAAGGAGACTGTTATACAAATGCAAAAGAAAGAGAAGGAAGCGCCACAAGTATTACCTGCCACCAAGAAGGTCGTCACCATCATGATGACTGCCGAGGAGAAGAACCAATGTGAGTGTATATTTTAAACTTATTTAGTACAATACATAGTGTCTCTTGCTACATCTGTAGTTGCACCAGGCTGCACCGAGTCTGTGGTAATACTAATTATATAGCTCAATCTCCATATTTATATTCCAAATGTGATGAACTTAACTTAAAATAATAAGGATTGTTCTTATTTTTCTTTTAGTGAAACAAAAGCTTCAGAAGAAATATCCGTCCGTGCCGGAGCGAGTGATCGGGTTAGCGTTGGAGAGCGTCGACCACAAGGAGGAGCGCGCGGAACAGATCCTGGACGCCGTGCTGGAGGAGGAGAGCGGCCTCAGCGTGACGTCACCGCCGCCGCCGCCGCCGTCACAGGAGGACAGGAGGCACCCCCTCGCCCCCGCCCCCGCCGCGACACAACACAATTACCACTCGTGAGTTGCATCACGGCGACACACACACGGACACTACGAGAATTTCACATATCGAATTTTCTGAAATTTCACATAATATCATGTCCTCCACGAAAAATCGTGCCCTACTAAAATTTAAATTTATTTACCTACCAAATAACTTTGCATACACACTATGTCATATATAAAAGAAATATGACTAATGCGGACTTCAGATATATTTTAGTCTTACAAATGTAAGTTCAAAGTAAAAATGATGAAGCAATAATATATATACTTATCAAAATAAATGAGTAATTGTATGCGTACACAGATCACTGGTAACGATTTCACACTGTGACTAAGACGACGATGTAGAGAAAAAACGTATAATAAACATTGCTCATTAGTTTGATCTTGTTTTTAATAATAAGATTAATTAAATTTTTCCATCGTATCTTTGAGCAAAATGTTGAATACACACGCGCATTTATAACACACTCATGAGACGACACTCGTCCACTATCGACGCCCCAGCGCTTCTTAGCTTCTCTCACGGGCCGCTCGCTGCACAAATATACTGCACCGCCCTTACGCGACTGGATATACCTATATTGCTATTGCTTTAGAATAGTAAGCAATTACAAAAGTGAGACTGCTGTTGGGCGAGATGTCAATTATATTATGGCATATGACGTAACTTTCCGTAGCTGAAATAATATTTATGATATTTGATAGACATAGATAATATAATATATATATGTATACAACCTGTAACATAATTAACGCACATCTTTGTGGTAGTTTGTTTAAAATCTTCTAATGTTATTAACTATTTTGGTAAATAATGAATAATTCAATGTAATAAGGCTTTTTAAAATGCATTAATATTCTTTGTTTGTAATAAAATTTATCATAGAAAAAATAACAAAGTGAATTTAGCTTTATTTTAATGTGAGTTGCGTGTAAAATACTCTTAAACGCTAAGAAGAGTGATAACTACTAGAGCGAGGACTTTATAATGAAATGCTAAATAAAATGAATTAAATAATATAATATTACTACATAAGTTTACAAGTTTATAAGTCGGTTACAGAACAATAATTTTAAGCTACTAATCACAAAATCAAAGAATATACTAAAAGTCAAAAAACTATATAAAAGGAACATGTCATAAAAACTTTTTAAATATGTACACTATGCCAACTGCCAGCTAGTTTCTAACAAAGAGTAAAATAATTCACAAACAAACACATAAATAATATACCACAAATAAATGTGACAAATGTCAGTGACAACGCATGCGTTTACAATGAGCGAGTATTTAAAAATAAACTAGATGTTGCTACGGTACGTTCTTGATTTCTCCATGTCAACCCTTCCGGTTTTCTTTCATGTTTAAAAGTAAATTAGTTTTCAAAACTCAATAAACAACTCATATTCTATTTGTACTTTTTCGTATTTGTATTGATATCTAAGTTTCGAACTTTGCAAATTTCAGTTTTCTAATATGTTAGTTAAAAGGAACGGAAATGACTGTCTTTGGTCCATTTGTTTCCTGCAAAAATCAACTTTTGCTAGAGTCGCCATCTAGTGGAGGTGCTTATTTAGTGCTTTCGTTTTTTTTTTAAATAATTCCTCATTTCACATGCAACCTTCTTTTGTTATACTAACGTACAGTAAATACAATTAAATGGTTTGGCACAATCTGGTTATACTGTGTTACTATGTTCGTCGATACTGGTAACAAGTAGAATAATAATTACTAAACTGAGCAAGTAAACTCGTAGTTGCATTTCACTGTATGCTAAACCGTAATTTATATAAATAAACTATGTTCTAGTACATAAAAATAATCCAGTTGCCGTTTTTGTTCATAATTGCATTTCTAATTGGGGTACATAAGGATGTGCGTTATTTCTGTTATACACTGTATATTTTAAAGTGTTGAATCAATTTGGTCAGAATTATATATTAATATTGAAAAAAAAAGCATTTTTCTTATGCTTATGTGTGGATTTCTTCCTTAACATCCACAACAAGAAGTATAACGCATATTGTAATAAAATAATTACTTATTTAGTTTCGTATTTACATAGCTATCCAGTTACATTCTAAGACTCAGGCTTGTACATACTCAATCTATTGCATACGTTTCGATAAGTTCTTGTTTGGGGCAGTTTTGTTGTAAATAAAAGAAAAGCTAGAATTTTTTATTAACATTAAGCGCTAATGATAACGTCTCCCTAAACACGAGTATACAATAGAGACTCAGTGCCAGTATATTTGTGCAGGTATATCACTAACATTATCATATCTTATTATTTTGTTCGAGGGGTGTGTTCACTGGCGCACGATATTCAGTTGAACTGACTCTTCAGAGATCATTACATTTTCGTGATATGTGAACATACCCTGTTTCTCATGGCGGCCTCCTACATCCTGACGCTGGCATACGCCCATACGCCCCATTATCGTTGAACTGAATGTTGGATATGACTGTTAAAATATAGTTTGTCTGTAATTGTATATGCATTCTATAGTAATAGTCAGGATTTATTAAGAAAATTTTGATGACACAAGATTCACGTCCAATATTCCGCGACATCCTTGTGGTGTGCAAGGTTCCACAGGCCGTGCCGAGCGTCCCTTTAATCCTTTCACACACGATAACATCGACCGACGTATAAACAAAGTTACGAACAATGTGTTCGAGAGACTTTCAATCATTGACTTTACTCTGTATATTTGAAATGTTGTACTGCATGATTGTAAGCTTGGACTAGGAGTAATCCGCACTCCTCACCACGTTAGTCAATGTCCAAATATTATCCAATCACTTGAGTAGATTTTATTCATAGACATTTCCTTATGTCTGATAAAAATAATTAAATCGCCTTATTTATTCAAAATAATCGTTTTTTTTTTTAAATTTTAAATAGATTTTTAATTGTCTCTTGTTTACTTATTGAAATGGAGCTAAGGTCGCCGGATCTGCTAGCGATTAATTAAAATGTATATCCGGTTTGGTGGCGCGTCACCTTAATCGGTTGTCGATCGCGGTAACGTGTGTGAAAGGGGAAGAGGGGATAGGTATTACGAATGGCCACCGATCGGTTGGGTGGTGTGGCGGGGTGGGGTCGGGGCGGGGGTGTGGTGGTATCACGTGTGTGTTACGGCAGCGTGAGCGAGGAGCCGGCGGGGAGGAGCGCGGCCCCCGCGGCCCCCGCTGCCCCCGCACCCGCCGCCAGACGACTCAAGACCTGGACCGATAGACTTAAGTATGTCCATTATAATACGTACGTACCACACCACACGTATTGCAGAACGATCGCCGCCACGCACACGCACGCGCCTATCGCGCGTTGGAACCAACTCGTGCAGAATACGCTATTTTACTTATATCAAATAAATGCATATTTCTTGTACTAAATGTCGAAAAATTAATCCATATCAGACACTAAATGTGAAAGTTGACATAACTGTCTTCTTTGATTTAATTTAGAACGCTAAGTTATACGTCGTGTTATTACGTCATTCGGTTAGCAAATAACAATTGTGCAATAAAATGTGTCAGTGTTGCTACTTAGTAAAAAAAAACAAAGCTTTACTAAATAGATATTTAAAAAAAATCACAATAACACAGTAATATCTTTATCAAATGTGCAACTATAATTGGGTCATTATAATAGATCTCGTTTGACATCTCTGTCTCCACTTCAAAGTAACCTTGTAATGTAGTAAACATTTTTTTTTCAAAAGGGCCCAATTACAAATTTCTTTGTTATTAAAATACATATATTTATTGTCAAAGTAGAAAAATTAAAGGAATTGTACGTTTTACTTTGACCAATAAACCTTTCTAAATGGAATAAATCTATATCATTAACGCCTCCACAATGTTATGTATGTCTGTGGACCCGTTGCCTTTTTAAACAGTAGGGATGTATCCAAAAAGTCAGAAAGATTGTTTGATCTACTCGGAAGTTAATTAATTATAAAGATATGAACAAATAACCACATTTAAATTGGAATTAATTCTTCATATCGTTTTGAACTCAAAGAATATATCACTGCATTTGCAAAATCTTTTAAATACACAAATATTGACAAATAAAGAAATGCAAACAGTTGGATTTTTAACAACTTGCACCATCGAAATCTTTTATAAACTCATATACAATTAACTTGGTGATACTTTTGTTGTTTTTGTTACAGTGTCGACACAAAATATAATTTATAATCTATCTCACAAAGTATTGTACTGATAATAATCATAAAACTGATATTATTTTTGCACAATAACTTAATTCGATTTCCATTTCATTGAAAACTATATCGATTCGTTAAATTAATCGATAACTTTAAGAAGGTCACCTCATTATCAAGTTGAGATTGATAGATGTCAAATGTGGCTTTTTATTATAACCCAACTGTAAGTGACCCGCTTAACCTTAAAAACAGCGACCCCTGGCGACGAAGCCACTAAAACTGCAACACATGAATGTTTGCTATCATACAGATTGACGATAAGATCTGAAGTAGAATTGTGGCTAGTATTTCCACTCGAGAATTCACTCATTAAAAAAACGTAAGACCTTTTTGCGATTTTACAAACTTAAAATAAATAACAATTCTGATTTACTATTACATCTTATATTTAGGTGAATTTAAATAACTCAAGACTCTAATTTCAATTCTGACGTCTTACTTTGGTGTTGCCATGTAAAGAATATACAGACAGGTATTTTAGTTCCTCTTTTATTAATTTATACTCTCTCTGACCAAGCTGGTACCAATAGTTTTTGAGCTAAACCGCGGATAGACATGGGCAACTATAAGGGTTCCTTGCTTACTATGGAACCCTAAAAAACGCATTGCGGGTGCGGTGCAATATATTATTTATTAAGTTATAAAGAGTTTTAATGACTAATTTTGCATAACACAATGAAGGACTAGATTAATACAAATTTTTGTTTTACATTTTACCGCATTTAAAGTAAATCAAACGTTTCTTTATTGAAATAGGCGGCGTTCTACATGCTATACAATATTTTTAATGCTTCAATATATCTGCATTTTTAACAATACTGTAATATATATATAGCCAGAGAAACTTCAAAATAAACTGTTTACACCATTAACAAAAAACAAATTTATAAATTAGAGCTTGAAGTCGTCATATTAAAACATTATGTTACCTAACTAGGAATGGTCAATTGAAATGCGTAGAGGTGTTAATTGATTATAAAGTTCAGTACACGGCAATTTCATGTGCATTTATTAATCGCACGTATTGATTCAAGTTTCTTGAATACAAGGTTTCACTTTTTTAAGTTTTTTTGAAGGCCAGTTTTGTACTTTCTTGTCGGTTAATGATATAGATATTGTAAGTAAATATTGAAGGTTAAGAAGTATACTTAATCAATATGTTCCATTATTGTAAATGACCATTGAGATTTTAATATTACTTCCGATTTTTTTATGGTACCTGGAGCGATCCTTCTGCAATATTTTGTGTGCGTTGATTGATTTTGGGTTCATCTACAATAGACGGTTGTTCGAGTACAACTCGTTTAATTAATTATATATTATAATGGAGACTCGATTAACCGGACCTCAGTTATACGCATTCGCGAGTACATCCGGACTCGAAAGAAGGAGGATCATAAGAAAATATCAATTATGTAATTAGGGATTTTCAAAGGCTGTGTTTGTTCACTCGACTTTAAGTTTCAATATGTTATAAGTTAGATAACATTATATGAAAACTGTTTATATTACATTCGAATGCTCTGACAACAAATCCAGTTAATCGAGCACACATTGTAATATTTCAGGTAATGTTTATATAATTGAAAAACCTGATATCGCAATAAATAGAGTTTGTGAGTGTATTGTCGCCGTTACCGGTGGTGCACCAATCGTGATTATGTGGCTTATTGTGATACTGTCTGTATGCAGACGTGTGGTGGTGCAACGCATGCCGTGTGTGATGTGCTTTATGTGCCACATCAATTGTCTTAAAATATTTGGCGTTATTGTACGCTTATTATATTTGATATTTCTTTGGCACGGCTGCACATCAGGTTACGAAAATATGTCAAATTTCTACAATTGTAGACTTTAAACATTAACCCCAAAACGTAAGTTTTAAAAAACCCAAGCAGAGAAATTTGACCGATTTTTAATCTAACCGACTCAGTTGTTCGAGATGAGGTTCGAGGTTGTAACATTTGGCAGCAAAAGCATTACCTCAATATCGGACGCCTCAGTTGGTAGGGCAGTCGCCCGGTTAACAACGGGTTCGAAAATCGTCTCGCGCACCTGAGCTGATTGGTTTGTTATTTTTCTATAGTATGTTAAAAAAACCCTGTCCGATATGTGTCGACGTTATTGGGTGTGGAGATTGTATACTACTCACGTAATTCTTTTTAGAAGAAGAATTTCATATTCGAAAACCTCGAAATAAATAAAAATAGTGAAATAGGGAGGCGGCTTCCGTGACCGTACAGGGGCGCGAACGCTGCGTGGACTGGTCGCGCCATTGCATTTGTCGGTAATGTGCCGCCGGATGTCGTTTCGTTTCTATATTTTATTTTGAATTTTCAAGATACCTTTTGGAAAAATATTGATAAATTTTGAGGAAAACTGACTGTTGTGGGAAAAGCATTTAAAACTTTCACACGTCCTTGTTTAATGACTCGAGACGATGACGATTATGAACTTACAATTTATTTTAAAGCAAAAAATACTGCATATTGTAGTTTTTGTTTAAATTCAGATGAGTTGGGTGCAAAAATCATAAATTTGATTGGGTTTTCTTAACGTACTGTATAAGATAAATTGACATATACTATTTCATAAGATCCAGTCTGTACAGTGAAAATTCACTGAGCGGAATTAGTTTATCATTATGATTTTCTAGGTGCATTACTATTAATATTACATGCATCGTCCTTAAATATTTTATGGTAGATTAATGTATTGTTTAATTTTGAATAAAGTACTGTGTTTCGAATACATATTAAATATTAGTAGATATTATTTTATTCAAGATGGATATTTGAGACGGGATTGTCAGGGCAGCTTTTCGAGCATTTTAGTTAGATGTTCCTAGGTAGGTGACCATTCATATTTTTTTAAATATCTTAAAATGAACTCCATTCAAAGGTTTTAGAAAAAAAGTACAATCAGAAAGAATGCTAATATGCTGTTCCTTATTCATTGTTCACAGTTAGAAATAGAATCGTTTGAAAATTATTATTTTTTTGTCTTTTTTCAGTAAAACGGATCGGGTTTTTTTTTGATGATGCTGGTATTTCTAGCGCTCCCGCATAAAATAGGATCAAAATGTGTATTTTTCGGTATTCAGCATTTTTCACAAATCATTTTTCCATAATTTGTGAATGTAATTCTATCTCTTAATGTACGGATGGTCTTCTAGGCATGTTTGCATATAACTAATGATTAAGGCCCTCACTGCCCCGTCTTAAAAATCTACCCTGTATATTAGAAAACTATGTTAAAGGGAAATGGATGATTTATGTATAACGTGATGGTTTGTCATATATTTATGTCGTGTGTGCACATGCATAGTGTGTTTGTTAGACAAAGGCGTGGCGTGCGTGGGCGTGACACCTACGTACATGCGGGTGAAGTGGCATCGATCCACAATTTTTTCAGTACCTTTTCACAAAATGTACCCAACTGAGATGTACTCATTTATTCTGCGAGATCTTTATAAAATTTTTCCTAGTATTCATCGTATTTCACGGTGCAAACCGTACCGCGCGGGGGCTCACGAGGCGACGTTTCGTACAAGGTCGCTGCGGCCACGCCCACGGTGCACGCCACCACTTACGACATTCATTACTGTCGTATTAACGCAACTTTGATACGAATGTTTTTTTATAATTATAATGTGTATGTATAATCAATACTATAGTAGATATTGTAGCGGTAGTGGAGTGATGGTGAGTTATTATAACATAGTAGTGGCTGTAGTGTTTCATTGGAGCATATCACCTGATTATCATGAACATTTTATATTTATTTAAGCTTTCGCAATATTTTTGTATTTTATAGTTCATCCACTTTTCCAATCTTAATCGATACTATCACTTGGATTATTTATTGTTGAATTATACAAATAATGCATGGAAAGAACTTTTTTTTTCATTTATAATTTATGGAAGTAAATAGACTTTTAATATTTTTAATACTGAGGCATGGAGTAATGTGAGGGTTTTGTGGTTTGTTTACATTTGAGTTTACGTACACTGTGAGGTCATTCGTCGTTATGTAATAAATATAAAAGCATCAATTCGCATCTTTTTTCACCTTATTATTAAATATATGATTTCAACTGTTCCGTATAATTTGATGTGCTGTTTACTGTACACACGTGCGTATTGCCTTTAAAGCCTGGCACAGTTGTAATTCACTAAGCGAGCTGCAATCAATAAAAAAAAGAAACTCTTGCCATACAAATGTATTTATCAGCTGCATGCTGCAGAACCCTGAAATAATTATGTTTAACATTTTTGTTTGTTCTTATGTTATAAATAATACAATAAAAAAAAATTGTCACATAAATTATTTTACAGTACTGGAATTCTGTATGTGATGATATGAATGTAGCTAAACAATTTAGTGCGTGTTTAAGTGAGTTAGGTAAACGTATAACCGTGGGCTGGTGGTCCCGCAGGCCCATACTGAAGATGAGCGGCGGGGCCGACTCCAAGTACAAGTCGCGGTACCGGGCGACGGCGAGCGGCCCGGACCCGGCCAACAGGCAGGGCCCCAACGACAGTTTGCTCTTGTGAGTACCATAATAACTATTTGGTTATAAAAATATGCATAAGTGGTGCCTATTAAATGGTTGTTCACCCCCCCTCCCCCACGCGAGAACAAAAAGGAATAGACCCTCAAATTGGCGATCAACTACACATAAATCCCTCACATAGAGTATGAGGCTCGGTACTCAGTACGGACCCTTTACAGTGGTGCGACGCTCGTGGTACAGTAATCGTAAGTTCAAAATATAAAATGCAGTGTAGTAAGCGTGAATGCTATATTTCTATGATTAAAACTTTGATAGGATAAAAAAACTGTAAAAGAAACTTATATCTTAGTATGTATAAAACAGAGTAGTTCGTTTCGTTATAGCATCTAATCTATGTCTACATAAAATAAAAACAACTCCCACGACAACGAAATGTTGTTAAATCGAAATCCAAAAATTAATTTTGACGTGTGCTAGTAATTTAAAATTAAGAAAAGAAAATAACCAAAAATTACATTTGAGATCAAAGTCATGCACAGTTACACCAGTAGGTTGTCGTCTGACTGTCGTCTCACTGATACGTGCGTGCGTTATGTCTCCTCCACACGTAGACGGATTCATCTGCGGACATCGGCGGAAGCCTCCGCAGCTGAATTTCCACGAACCGTCCACACGTCTGAAGGTCGATCAGTCTGTGTTGGTTCTTGTCAGACGCAACACGTACGCACGCAAAATGGATATCGAGACCGTTTGGATTCCACAGGCAGTTCTCTGCTTGATACAGCTCCAGAAATTTAAAAGTTTCTTCAGTGCTCATGTTAGCCATTTTAACACGCAAAAAAAACTGTAATAATCACGCGTACACTCTACCTACCACAGACGAGCAAATCACCCCCTCTACACGTCGGCGGACGCGTCTGCCGAGGTCATCTGCAGATGAATCTTGTCTACGTGTAGAGGAGACATTACACATACACGGGATATCCTCCCTGTTTATTTTAGCGTTAAACCCTCGAGCACCCTTCCCCAGTTTCCCTGCTCGATCGTCCCTATCAGATGTGTGCTAACACTGTGCTATTTATATTATATTACTAAGTATAGATATGTTAATACAACTTTTGTTCAACCATCCAATTAATAATGTGTGCAATACACTTTCTATAGCAAATTAGTTATTCATCAACTGATTAGGTGATTTTACAACACGGTTCGTTTGTACTTTCATCCGCGCCGCCTTCTATGTTTTGACTTGCCTTACCGTGCATAAGCGTCGCAAGAGAGTGACAAAGACGGAAAGCATCCTCTTCCAACATTCCTACATTATATATCAGCAACTTAACTATTACAGAACACATGTTCTGTATATTAGGAGTTCCTAACCTACTACCTATAATATTAAGGAAATTTGTTATACAAATTTCTTTATTATTTTTTTTCACAAGAGATTCCCTATTGGTCAGGTTGGATTATTTGCCGTGGAGCGGGCCGAGAACGGAGTGCTGCAGCGGTTCCACGGTGGTAGCGGAGGGGCCGGAATCTCGCGACAAGTCGTCGACACTGGCGCGCGGTCCCGCGCCGGCACTCGCCAAGGGACCCGCAGGACTCGCAAAGGGGTCCATCTATCAGAACATCAACAAGAAATCTGCCAAATTTGAGGTTTTCTCTAACTGAATCAGTATGTATTTGCTAACGGAAAAGTGGTAATTATTATGAATTAATTAATAGTAAAAGGATATTTTTTTTAACAAAATCGAAACTGTAGAAATACACCTATAGGAAATTAAAATTATTGGAAAAATAAATACACGTGTTTGTAAAGTTTAAAAACCACGTGTACAAATATATGTAAAAAAATAAAATCATTGAGACGTCCACAGATTGTGTAGTATAGAAATGTCAAAAAGTCGTTGTACGTGTATTAGCTCAAATTGAGTATTAGTACGATTCCCCGATTATGAAGGATATAGATAAAGTGAAAACGAGACAGTGTCTCATTCGAAAAATCCTTGTACAAAATTGCGAGAGCTGTCTACGAATTAATCAATGACAAATAATGTCATATTTGCTACAATCAACTCTGTTATTAGTGGTTTGGTCTACTCTTAACGGGATCGCTTTACATACTAATGTTCACTTACATTTCTAAAACCTGCCGTGCTGTTGATTGTAGCGTTACAGAGGGGATTAATCATTAAGTGATTTAAAAAATATCCTTTACGAGATCAGACCTAGTCTAGTCAGAATGTGTATTTTCATATTTATGTAATATTTCAAGTACATAGTTCAATATTTTGACATACGATTGTGCTTTCGACTGGAGACGCATGCACGCATGACTCGGATGTGATTAAAAATGCAAAAAATCTCGCTTGATTGGAGAAGTTTAAAATATAAAGTTACCAAATCTATTCTTACTTTAAATGCATGACTTCCATAAGTTATATGTTTAACAAAAGAAAAGAAATTCCAAAAAGAATTACAAGCAATTCTCAAATGGCTTTACTCTCTCTTTGTCCTAATACTTAAACTAGTTAGTTGTAAATGTATGCAGATTATGCAGAATTATAATCAAACTTGTAAGCACAAAGAATTCCAAAAATGAATTTATTTATGTTGCCAGTTCATAATTTTCAAATTCCTGATTATGTTGCGCTCATTTTTATCAAAACATTGTCTTGTTACTTGTTATTTTGTCAAAACAACGTACAGAAGATGTAAATCTACTGTAATTGCAGTATATCGGGCAACACTGAACTTGCTTCCGTTCGTTTATGACATGTTACAAGATGGCGGCGTTACTTCCGAAAGATTCTTGTAGCAATGTAGCACTTGTTATCAATTGATTATGTCACATTATCAAAGATGTGCGTGCCTGCGTGCGGCGCCAGTCTAATATAAAGCAGACGAGTTTATTATTATAGATATAAACATTAGATTAAGCGGGGATATTGCCCAGGAAATACTTTAAAATAACAGTAAGAATTATAGTTAACGTATACTCTGCCAAAAACATGGTCTACCACTGTACGGTCGATGTTCGTTTTAAGATCGTTGAACAAGTAGTATTCCCTTTCGCGTGACAATGCTGTGCTGACTCTTTTAAAATAGTTTTTTACGTTACTCTTAGTTTATTTTTTATAATTTGTTTTTTAATTTATTAAACAAAATTGTTCCTCATATAAAAGTTGAAAATCAATGAATTAAAATATATTTATATAAAACCCAACTAACTCTTTAAAAAGCTATATTATAATACAACGCGGTCGTGTGCCACAACAGTTTGTTTTGTTATGATCAGTGGCGTGCGACTACGGTTATTAATGTTGTAGTAATAATTTTTTAACTTATTTATTATTTAATTATATTTCGGGTGTATTAAAACATAAATTAACATTTTATATATATATATATATTTAAAATGTGCTTATTAATTTCATTTGATACTCTACACGGAATGATGGAATAATATATATTTTTTTATTTCTTATTTTATGCTCTCTAGAAAGCAACAACGCTGTAGCCAGGCCAATAACGTTTTCTGTACTTTTGAAATTGAGGTTTTAAACCCTATTACTCTGGACTTCATTGATATATTTTTACACAATTTTCGTCTGTAACTATTAGCCTGTAAACATAATTTTCTGATGTCATCACATTCCAATAAATAATTGTTATATTATTTACATTTACAAAGTGTCAACGACGTACTTCCATCTTTTTAATTGTTTCATTAAGTCCCTGTTTGACATTACATTAAAATAACTTAGTTGTAAGTGATAGAATTATCTAACGTGGTCTTCCCGGAAGGAATCTTCATCATCGTTCACAACTTCACTAATGTTAGCGCCTACGTAATTATAGAATAAGTTTGTCTCAGTCCCGAGCATTCATTAATTCCAGTACACATTTTTTATATTAATGTAGGCCAGTCATTAGTACACAGAAAGAATTTATAAGTTTATCAAAATGTACCAGATAAGTGATACCATATTACGTCCTAGATTTGTTTAACCGGGTGTAAGAGCTGAACTGTATCATGCTTGTTAGTTGTCTAGACAAGTTGGTTTCATTTAAGGATAAATATAAATTCACATACTGATACTGAGCCAACTGGGCTCATTACAAATGTCCTCCGTTGTATGTTTGTCTGTAGCTTATGGCATTCCAATTTACACTATACATATAAACCATCATTAATTACATATATGTAGTATCTCAATGTAAAATATATTAAATTTATACAGAGCAGCTACTCAACTGCGTAACTGAAGCCCTGATTACTCTGTCAGAATGAAGCCCCTTGTCATATCATTCGGGGTTTCATTTTGGCACACCTCAATTGGGTAATTTGGGGGGGGGGGGGGGAGATATAAGTTAATATAAGTTCATTTTATTTAATATTTATGTGTTTATTATTTGTTAATATATATTGCAAAATAATGTTAGCGGAGTCGTCTAGTCTCTCATATTTATGAATAATGTTTTTTGAAGTGTTTTATATTATGATTTGTTAATCTTGTAAGTTGCATTTGTATTATTTTTTTTTATGGTAGGCCATATTTGTTCTTCAGAATTGGATTGTGATCGATACGACAGAACAGAAAGAAGCATGTAGTGAAGAAGTATAATTGGCTAAACTGCTTTTTATGTTGTCACTGTTTCATTGTCGGCTGTGTGTCATCAGAATACATGCAAATGTTTGCGAATTGATTTATGTACACAAAATGCGAGAAAGTTAAATGTAAAAAACATTAAAAGGTCCCGTAACCAGACGGAGAGTTGCGTATGAGCGCTGCGGGATGAGCGTTGCCAGCGTCTCACCTCTACTTTGTCTTTCTGTTCTGTAGTGCTATTCTGTTATAAAACAAATCCTACAACTCGACGACGAACGTAGCGCTATCACTGCGTAGAAGTACAATAGAATAAAACTTACTTTTAACAGAATAGCATAGCTCATGCCAGATGTTCTATAATAAGTCGTTTTAAATTGTAATTATTTTCAACACTGAACCTTCGTTATGTAAATATTTTGTGATTAATTGTTATTGAATTGTGCTCCGATCTTCCAGTGCTTAGACTGATTTTATGCATTTTCAACTTTAAATAGTTATTCTTCGTGATTTTGTAGCATTAAAATATGCGATAGAAAAGGTTATAGGTATATTATTTTTTGTAAAATAACTAACAATATTGAAAATGTGCATAGTTAGTTAATTTAGGTAACTAGTCTATGTGACCGTTGTGCGACACATATCTAGGCTCACTTCCCAGCCTCATAGTCAATTAGGTTAAGAATATAGTTGTACGCATACTACACACATATTTTTGTGAACCTTGTAATTACTTTCTCGTAATAATATTGTTGGTTCTGTCCAAACGTTTTATTTATTTCACTACGATTCCTTTAACCACAGAGTGAATGATAATAAAATAATATTCGAGATTTACATATTATTTATAAAAACACCACAGTTCGTGTGAAATACTACAATTGCAGCTGGATCCGACGGCGCAACGTGTCTTTCGAAGCACGGAACAATTCGACGTAATAAATTCATGGTCACCCTATGACACTGAGTCGTGCGACATTTGTGTAACAACCACATCGCAGACCGAACGCGTTAAATTATCATATGTATATCCTGACGAGTCGTCTGTAACATCTACAACCACCCAGCAGGCACGAAACAATATGAAATACTCTTGGTTCGACATTAATCATGTCGAAGCATACATATATTTATGTGTCATGTTACGAGTAGTACATTAACGTACGAGTCATGCGCGTCACTTTTAGGAAAAACGACAGACACGAATAATTAAAGTGTTTGCAGTAATTATGTATGATAACATTCTCTTTATTATGATATCTGGAAGGATATTATTCGTAAATATAAATATAAGGGTTGCTCTCGACGAGTGCTATATCCTTTTCAAGTTGTTTGAGTTCCTGTTCCATCTTTGTCTTCTTGAGGATCTTGGGAATGGTGTCCGTCAGCATGGGCAGCTGCAGGAAAGCCTTCTGCATCAGTTGCCAATTGTGCTTCAAGTCCTGGAACAAAGTTGAATCAGTTGTATTCTTAATAAGCATTTTGATCAGAAAGATGTTACCGCCATCTATTTGTAACTATTCAGATTAGGTGGCTGACATTGCAGATTCAGTTGAAATTCTCTGCTCGGCATTTATAGTAAATACACGGTATGGCAGGTTTGGTTAAACCACGTCTAAGCTCAGATCAAAACTCACATTTAATAACTTTTGGCGTTCTTCCTCGGTGATCAGTTTGCAAAGACTCTCCTTGGTTTCTTCAGCGTGTCGTATTTTATCAAGTGCACGTTGGATGCGCATGTTCCTCTTCGTCAAGTAGGCGGGCATCTGTCCAAAATCAGGTCTTAAGCAATATTCAGGAACCTCGCCGGACCCCTTTATATTCTTTCTGTGACCATCCCTGGTATCTACCAATCTAAAATTATAAATATTTATTCAAATGTCATTAGCCTATATTTCCCCTTTGTAGGGACACATTGCTTCCCTCTGGATATAATCATATTAAGGAGACAGCCCATAACACATCACGCAAGTACGGATTGATTCCTTTATTGGAGTCGCAGAATAATGTCCTCACAATCCGCCGTCATCTCAACAATCCCTCCTTTCATATCCTTATCATATACATGTCACACAGCCTATCCGTCTTATCTTCAGTGTTCCCCTTTCCTTGCGTTCCCATCCACATTCATGCTCACAATCCTCTTTGTTCTTATCCCTTTACTCATCCTTCACTTCAAATTGTCACTCCACACAGTTTGGTTTCCTAAATCTTATACATGCGCTATTATACCTCGGTTGAACAGGCTTCGGTTTAGTTTTTATTGCTTTCTTTATGTTTACAACACGGAAATTGATTTTTGGCTTTTCTGGACCCTTTCCTGGTGGCGGTCTCTTGGGTACAGGTGGAAGATTTCCCGAAACAATACATTTGTGGTCGGATTTTTTTATTGGCTGCCCGATCCCGTGGCCTTTTTTTAGGAAATCCTCAGGTGGTTTCAAAGGAGTCTCTGCATACCCGAAGGTGCGACGTAATTGTGGTATTTTCCTTTGTTTTAGTTCCCTCTCCAGCTGCGATTCGTATCTATATGAAAAGAGATTCGTAGCTACAAGTTACCTTTAAAGTCAAGCTTTATCAAAAAAAATACAGCTTCGCGGAAATCAACGATGCGTATCGACTACGCTATTTTGCTACGCAGATTATCTGTTTTATTGCCTGCTTAGAAATATAATCCTTTGCTAAATATCTTCTGTGTATTAAATACAAAGTTTCAGCTCAAAAGATCAAGGAAAGCGACGCCTATCTTTTTAGCTATACTATACGAATACTTAGCAATGTTATAGGCCTAACAGACTCACGCCGTGAAGCCCCGAGAACACCCGGGACTCGTGAATAGGATATTATTCTTGCCTTCTCATTCTTTTATATTTCTTTTCGCCAAGAAGGCTTGGCGAAACTTCTCGGCATGAGTCTATCTATACCGACTATTAGAGTGTTAATAGATCAGTCAGAAAATTACATAAAAATAATCATATTGAAAAACATAAAAAGAATTCGGTTTTATTTTCAATAAAACCGAATTCTTTTTATGTTAATGAAACGGAGCAAAAATTTTAAAATTTTAAACAAGTAAGAGTCCAAGGTGCAAAAGAAATAACATATTGGATGGAGGTCTCGTCTAATTATACCTTGTACTGCCGCTGCACTGGTGTAATTTATAAACGCTGTTCTACTTTACATACTGTGAATTGGATAATAGACGACTACCATTAGATAGGCTAGTAGGTATACTAACCTCGGTGTTTTAGGAGGTTCTGGAGGTGGTTTGTCTAGTATTGTATATATATTTTCATTATGATAAACTATCTCAACTATAGACATTCTATAAAATGTTTAAAAACCAGTATAACCAAAGTACCACAATCGAAATAATATTTTTATCAAAAGAATCCGACCTAATAATTTTTATTTCTAATTATTCAAATCGATTTGTTGTCGATTTGATCAGGGAGTAGTTTCCATGGAAACCATCAAACATAATATAAAGTTTGATTCAAAGTTAAATATATATAAATTTTACTCTTTGATCGTTTCTATGGTTACGGTTATATATTTTTTTCAAATTGAACAGTCTTTAAGGGTATGTTCCGATATACACTGCGAGCACTGCGCAGTGGTCTTTCTGCTGAAAAATCCGTTCCGTTATGGACTGCCAGTACACTGCTACAGTACCCTAGGGAAATTCATGACGTCATAAATTGCCGCCATATTTGTACTGTGAGCACTGGAGATTTCGAGGTAAGGTGCTCGCAGTGCTTTTGATCACGTGATCAGTCGAAACAGAATCAGAAAATTATAAGTTTCTTAATAAACAAAAAAAAATACTTACGTTTATTATAAGATGGATAAATATTTTTTTTATACAATTTTCCAATTTTATAACATTTTCTTTTGAAAAGAGGGAATCTTTATATTTATATTCACCTTGCATTAACAAATTTGAAAATGGCGCCAAAAAATAGGATTAACAGTATACTAGACTGCGTTCCGTTTTAAAAAGTCACCAGTATAACTAGCTATAAAGGAACGGGTATACTAAATTGACGTCATACTGTTCAGTGGTCGCAGTGTATATCGGAACATACCCTAAAATTACGAAATATACAGCAAAACACTATTCTGGCGAAATCCACAAATGCAACGCCAAAAATTAAATAGAAGAAGATTAAGACCAAGAAGATGGGTATTTCTTGATTATGTATGATTGAATGGATGATATAGACTACAGGGTTTTAAACTCATGTTTTATTAAAAAGTGGTTTTTGTCATATTTATTTTTAAACGAAGTTTTTAACCTTCCGACTTTTTTAAAGATTCTATAACTACCTATCTTGAATCAAATATTATGTTACAAAGAAGTAAAGTTTCTAACTTTGTTTGTTTGTAGGGGGTTATTCTTTGGAAATTCTTATCCTATCATAAATATTCTTTCACCTACAGGAAGCTACATCATACGCTAGCATAGGTGACAAAGGCTAGTACATATTTAGTAATGTCCGCATCGCGATTTTAATTGGTCAATTTTGGCATTCTCAATCTCTGAAACAAAAATATATAAATGATTTTGACTTGTTGATTAGTGCAGATTAACTCTTGTCATAGTTCATAACGGCTCACTTTTAAGAATATTGCTTATCCTTTTTATTAAACCCAAAATAGCAAAGAAAGATTTTCATAAATGAATGAATAAATTCTTTATTGTACACCATAAATTATAGAGAAATTACAATTGATACAGTTTAGTTGTACAATTGGCGGCCTTATCGCTAAAGAGCAATTTCTGCCAGGCAACCGTAGGTTAGACTGGACTGTTACTAAATAGACGGGTAGTAGATGGTGTCTTACATTGCGAGAGAAACATACCTACATACAAATAACATATACATACCTCTACATATAAATATAATATACTATATATAATATAATACAATATACATACAAACATTTAAAATAAAACAGTACCAAGATAAATATAACAGGATGATACGATGGCATTTCTTCCTAAAGTGATAGATAGTATATTTTTACATATTAGTGGAGTAATTTTTGTCGCGGTTTCGCAGGCACAGAGGAAAAGAGAGAATAATCATATGCTTTTATGTGTTCTATATTAACTTTATTAATTAAACAGCTTATTACAAAATTACAAAATGTCCTCCATATTTTTTTATATTTCTTAGCACTTCCTATTTTTTTAAACTCAGTGTTGCCAACTCACATTAGTTGCCACACTTAACACCTTCTCCTATTTTTAAAATTTTAACAAATTTAAAAATACTTATATTCTATTCAATTTTATTACAAACAAATTTCTAAATTAACAAATTTCTTTTACTTATCTATTATTTAAAAGTTCTGATTTTTTATTTTACAACTCTTTTAGAATGAAAGTCAAATTTATCTTTAAACAAAGGCTTTGTAAACATATCAGCTATTTGTAAATTTGTTGGACAGTATTTTATATCTATTATCCCTTTTTTATAATTTTCATGTATAAAATAGAATCTCACATCAATATGTTTTGATCTTTTACTAAAAGAACCAGTTTTTATCAACTGAATTGAGCTTTGATTGTCAATATTCAATACAACTTTTATGTTACTATCTATTAGTTCACTTAAAAATGATTTCAAATATAAACATTCTTTACAACAATCTGAAGCTGCAATATACTCCGCCTCTGTTGACGAAAGAGAAACTATTGGTTGTCTCTTGGAGCACCACGATATAGGTCCACCAGCTAACATTATGACAAACCCTGTAGTACTACGTCTAGTTTCAATACAGCTTGCATAGTCTGAATCACAGTATGCATCTAATTGTGTAATATTTCCTCCTGTTTTGTACATTATCCCTTTAGTTCTTGTTCCGTTTAAATATTTTAGTATTTTCTTTATAGCAATTATATCTTCTCGAGATGGATTTTCAATTTTCTTACTTGCTTCGTTTACCGCTTGACTTATGTCTGGTCTTGATCTTGTAGATAAGTATAGCAATCCTCCTACCAACTCTCTGTAAGGAAAATTTGATGAATCTATATTTCTCAATTCCTTTTTCTTGTCAGTGTTACTTGGTGTACTTGCAGGTTTAGATTCAGACATATTATACTTTTTAAGTAATCTCTTTGTATAGTTTTGTTGATGCAGTAATATTCCTTCTTTTGTTTTAGTCACTTCAAATCCAACATAGTTTGTAGGTTTTTCATAAATTTTTATTTTAAATTCTTTCTCTAAGTGATGTAATATATTCATTAACTTTGCTTTATCTTTACTTATAGCCAATCCATCATCTACATAAATAGCAATTATTATTGTTTTATCTTTAGTGGAAAATACACACTGGTCAGTTTTTGAAGGTTTCAAACCAAGTTTTAACATTGTTTCAGTAAATTTCTTATTCCATGTGATTGGAGCTTGCTTCAATCCATACAATGCTTTCTTTAAGCAACAGACTTTATTTGATTGTTTTTCATATCCTTCTGGTATATTCATAAAAATTTCTTCATTTAACTCTCCATATAAAAATGCAGTTTTTACATCAAACGTTATCATCTCATATTCTTTAGAAGCAGCTATTGCAAATAATGATTTTAATGCTGATTGACTTACTACTGGACTATATATTTCTTGATAATCAATGTCTTTCTGTTCAAATCCTCTAACAACAAGTCTGGCTTTATATGAACCATTTTCTTTTATACAAAATACCCATTTATTAGTCAAGATTTTATTTCCTTTTGCTTTTTCTATGTCTACTATTTCCCATGTATTGTTACTTTCTAACGATTCCTTCTCCGAATTTATTGCCTTTTCCCAATGTTTCCTTTCAGCGGAATTCATTACTTCATTGTAAGTAAGTAATACATAATCTTGAAGATAACTTGGTACTTTCTTTTCTCTTCTGGTTTTAGTTTGCATTTCTTCTATTGTGTCATTTTCTATATTTTCATTATCATATTCTCGTTCTACTGTAGTCTGATCATTCTCTTCTATTTGTAGTTCATCACCATGTATTTCTACTTCTTGTATATTATCATAGTTCTCATTTTCTTCTTGTTCATTTTGTGTCATTTCTTCATCATTTTCTAGTATTGTTATTTCATTATAATTTTCTGGTATAATTTTTTCATGATAGTTTTCTCTTATTTTCTGTTCTCTTGTCATTTTATCATCTGGTATTTTCTTATCGTAAAACACAACATCTCTTGCTATTTCTATTTTTCTTTCTTTTTCATTCCATAATCTATAACCATTATTAGCATATCCAACCATTATAAGCTTCTTACTTCTTGGATCAAGTTTCTTTATATTTGTATGTAGTTGTTTTGCATATACTATTGAACCAAATTTCTGCATATTAGCTATGTTTGGTCTTTTATTATACCACATTTCATAAGGGGTTTTGTAATTAAGTATTTCAGTAGGTAATCTATTTAAAATATATGTTGCACAATACATAGCCTCACCCCACATTTCTTTTCCTAAATCTGAATCAAATAATATTGCTCTGGTTTTTTCTAATAGTGTCCGGTTTAATCTTTCAGCTTTCCCATTTAATTGTGGTGTGTATGGTACTGTCAAGTCTAATTTTATTCCTTTATTCTTGCACCATTGTTTGAAGTCATTGCTTGTATATTCACCCCCATTGTCACATCTGATTGTAGATACTTTCTCATGTCTTTCTCGCTCTGTTTCTTCTATGTAATTTCTGATTTTTTCTTTGACTTCATTTTTATATTTAATTAGATAGATTTTTGTGAAATGAGTATAATCATCCATGATGGTCAAGATATAATTATAACCATCATGTGTTATGGTTTCAAATGGACCACAAACATCTGTATGTATAAGCTCCAATGGTCGATTAGCTCTGGTTCTAACTGTTTTAAATGGTAACCTTGTCTGCTTTGCCTGTGTACATATTTCACATAACCCATTGATTTCTTTTGAACCTTTTATTATTATACCATCTGCAGCTTTTGTTAGGATTTCTAATGTTTTGTTTCCAGGATGTCCGAGTCTTTCATGCCATTCTAATGCTGTTCCTTTTTCTTTCAATAATAATGACTTTTCTTCTGGTTTTTTCTTTAAATCTATACTGTATAATCCATTTTCCTTTCTTCCTGTTAATATTAATTTTGAATCTTTAAATATCTCAACTTTATCTTTTGTGAATGTAACTATACCATTGTTATTTGTAACTGCGTTTACAGATAATAAGTTTTGTGTTATATCAGGAACATGTAATGTCTTTTGTAGATAACAACCATCTCCATATACAGTACCTTGGCCTTGAACTGTTATTGTTTCACTATTTGCTGTTAAAACAGTTGAATCTATTTCTTCATATTCACTTAATATATCAAAACTATTTGTCATGTGTGTTGTACATCCCGAATCCACAATGAATTTTAAATTACTTGAGCCATCATTAATTGTTGAAGTGAAAAGTGCCACATCCATTTTATTTATATTCTTGGTTTTATTCTTATAGTAGCAATTTTCTTCTTTATGATTGGTTTTCTTGCAGATTTTACATTGATTTATTTTAAATTTACACTCTTTTTCATTATGATTATATTTCTTACAAATAGAACACATCTTACAATCTTTCTTCATATGCCCAGTTTTATTACATTTAAAACAAGTAATATTCTTTCTCGTTGCTTGAAATGCAAGTTGTTTTTCTTCATTTCTGTTTTCTGATCTACTTTCTTCATTTAATAATCTGTTAGTTAAATTTGTTAATGTTTTCTTATCATCAGGTGTTGATTCCCAAGCAGTACAAAAATAATTCAACTTACTCGGTAAACAGGTTAGAATTTTTGATATCACCATTTCGTCTGTAATATTTTGTCCAATTTGATTCAATCGAAACTTCAAATTTTCAATTTCTGATATTAACTGTGTTATCGATCTATTTTGAAGTCTAAAATTGAAAAATTCTTGCAATAATGAAGTCTTGTTTCTTTGTTCTGAACCTTCAAATATGTTACACAATTTTGTGTACATTTCAAATGCATTTTTACATTCTAATATATAACCTTTTAACTTTTTGTCAATTGTATTTATAATTAGCTTTTGTACCTTAGCATCTTTTGTGATATCTGATGTCTGGTCTGGTTTTTTCGTTACAATCTCACATAAGCTTGAAGCCTTTAAATATATATTGAATTCGAATTTCCACAATAAAAAAACTTTCGGAATCTTTCAGTTTTTCGATTTTTGTTTCTTCTTCACTCATTGTTATTATAATTACTATTAATCCCTTTTGTTGTTTCTTTTCTTACCACGCGGTATAGCAATGGATTTTTTATTTTACCTTTTATCCAACTTATCATTAAACTCTCTTTTGATTGTGGCCTGGGCCCATAACCTGTCGCGGTTTCGCAGGCACAGAGGAAAAGAGAGAATAATCATATGCTTTTATGTGTTCTATATTAACTTTATTAATTTAACAGCTTATTACAAAATGTCCTCCATATTTTTTATATTTCTTAGCACTTCCTATTTTTTAAACTCAGTGTTGCCAACTCACATTAGTTGCTACACTTAACAATTTTGTGGAGTGGAGTGCACAGGGCACCTTCAGTTTTAGGTTCTCCGATGATCTCAAAACACGACAGTGCGTATCACTTGAAACGTTCCTTAAGATAAGTTGGTGAGAGAGGATTGAACAGTATATTGTAAAGCAGGGAAACAATATGTGCATTCCGACGAAGTCGAATTGGCAACCACTTGAGCTTAGTGTGAAAATCAGATACATGATCATACTTGCGTAACCCAAATATGAATCTAATACAAAAATATTGAAGTCTCACAAGTTTATTCAGTTGCTCCTCAGTTAAGTCTAGATAGCTGACATCGGAGTAATCCAGTATTGGAAGAAGGGATTGTGCGAGCGCAATTTTAGTGGCCACAGGCAAGAAGTTACGTAGCCTCTTCAAGGAACCAGCTGCAGCAAACATTTTCCGACTCGTCTGCTCGATCTGTGGTCTCCATGTCAAATTTTTATCTATAACTATCCCCAGATTTCGTACGTTATCACTAGGGATTAAAGCAACACCATCGAACAAAATTGCAGGTAAATATGAGCGGTTGATTTTATTTGTCATTGCGGGACTGCCAACAATAATGACTTGGGTTTTCAGTGCATTTACTTTTATGCCATAGGACTTGCTCCAGTCACAAATTATTTCTAAGTCACGGTTCAGCGCATTAATCGCTAGAGACAGTTGATCAGGACAAGCTTGGGAATAAACTTGTAAATCATCTGCTTAAAGGTGGTAAGATGAAACTAACTGGCGTGAGATGGAGTTGATAAATATAGCGAAAAGTAATGGAGATAAAACGCCACCCTGCGGTACACCAGCGGAAATATCACACCAAGTAGAAAAGGAATCCTCAATGCGTATTTGCTGTCGGCGCCCAGACAGGTAACTACGAAACCAGTCAATAACTGCCGGAGATATGTTAAAAGAGCGCAATATGCCAAGCAAAATGTCAAAGTCAACGATGTTAAATGCGTTACTGAAATCAAGTAGAGAGAGAACCGTAACTTTACCATGTTCCATTCCTGATCTTATATCTTCAGTTACATTCACCAGTGCAGTAGTAGTACTATGACCAGCGCGGAAACCTGATTGGTAGGAATTAAGGAGTTGATTTTCGAAAAGGAAACTGGACAACTGGTTGTGAATAAGGCGTTCCAGGACTTTGGAAAGAAATGGTAAAATGGAAATAGGCCTATAGTCTGTGAAGGATAGTGGTTTCGATTTTTTGGGTAACGGGATAACGGAAGCATCTTTCCAGGCTGAAGGAAATATACCCGTGTTTATGGATTGATTAAGAATATGGGAGATAATAGGAAGGATTTCATCAAGGATAAGGGTAATCATTTTCCTACTGATAGAGTCCACACCCACAGCACTGGAGGTTTGAATGCACGAAGACCCTGGATTGAGCTACTGTTCTTAACAAATTAAATAAAAAAAAATTAATGATATCTCTTTTATAGTCGTACAGTTCATAGCGGCAGATTAAATGCCTTAACTACTTCAGCATCAAGCTAATCAACCCAGCATTCCTTACTGGGCCGGCGTATAGGTTCCAATGAGGAGTGGTGGCAATAAGCATAGATATTTTTAATGGATGAAACCACCAGCATTCCAAACTGGGCCCATATGTAGGACACAATGCGGATTGAATGTGTAAACACTTGCAATTCTCTTATATATGGGCGTGCGATTCGTGCAATATCGCGCATCGATATCAAATTGCATCGCATCAAGCCATGAGTAAAGAACCTTAGGCTACTTTTTAATAAATCGTCTTAAATAAAAGAAAGAAAAGATAAAAAAAGCTGCTTATATACTCTAAAAAACATATAGCACTAGATAAAAATATCTATATTAAAATGCGATTGTAGGGATTAGATCCTTTTGCTATAAAACTAAGTAGCGCAAGAATAAATTAGAGCTGTGTCGATCCAACGTAACGTCGATAATTTATCGTAGCACGATTAAAGTTGATCTGACATACTCATAAGAATATCGGGTTAAAAAGATTCGAACATTTCTAATATTAATAATAAAATCTTTATTTTGTGCAAATATGGACAAATAAGTTATTAAAAATTGAAGAGCCGCGATCGATAGGTCACACCACACAAAAGAAAGGGCATCAATATTACTGGTCCCTGGGCAGCGGTGCGAGCGATCCTATAGGAACGGGTTTCTTTTGGTTCATGTTACATAAATTGAGGGAGAGAGAGGTAAATGAAGATAATCAGTTTTTTGAAAAAAAAGGGAAATTTTGCTTGTTGTATCATGGTTTGATTGAATGCGTCAATGCACGGTGGTAAATGTAAGAAACTAAAGCTTAATATGGGTTGTTATGGGACTTAGTACGGGGTTGTTTTACGTTAACACCATCGATGCCTTTATATGACATTCGGCGTTGAATTTCCTCACTCCAAGGTCTTATATCTTATTACCAATCAGAGAGCCAAACGCGCTAAACCTCGATTGCGTAAAAACTTGAACTAACTAAATTATCTGTCATCTGAAAGTGTGGGTCATACAATAGTCGAGTCCATTATTGATTCACGATATAGTTACTCGATTATAGGTTATTAATCGCAATCGTACAGGTCTATTCGTCGATTAAATTGCATCGCATCGTCTCGATGGCTTCGTTTGTCTTAGATATATTTTTAGAATGATTTCATTGCTTTTCAAATAGGGTATCGGTATTTTTTTCATTCATGTGCGTAATTAAGTGAAAATGTTGACTAGACGCTTTCGTAGCGGAGTTCGCCGTATCAGTGTTCACAAAACCATAAGCGGTGGCTTGAGATACCTGTCCAGTCGTTTGGACGCATTAGATCATGAAGAGAGGCTGGAAGGATGCTTGTCTACACTACCTTCGAAGGCTAAAGTGGTGATATGCGGTGGTGGAGTAATGGGAGCTGCTGTTGCATACCATTTGGCTGAGAGGGGTTGGGGAGACAAAACTGTGCTCATTGACAGAGAGAGGTAAGTAGCGTATCGACCGCCGGCAATCTATGTATTATGTAGATACTTATATAGATGTGATGTGACGGCGCATATGTGCAATTATTAGCAGTTGCGTCTGGCCGAGCTAGGTACTACTGTTAGGTAGTATAGCTATCTGTCTCCTGTTAGGCTGTCTATTTGTAAAATCAATCAATAGTGCAAGGTGGGGTCCGTTGCGGGTGGCATTCCCCCACCGCGAGTTATGCCTGCAGTTCTAAAGAGAATTAAATTTTGCAGCTAATGTTATTTAGTTATTTGTGATATTTAATAGTCTAGTGTACACTTTTAACGAAATAGAGAAAATATTACCTACTTAAAGTTACAAAATTAGGTTTTAACTCACATTCCTGCAAAGTAAGTATACATAATTTATTTTTTTGATGTAAAACTGAAGAGTTTAATAAGTTTAAAAGATTTATAATTAACAGTTTACTGAACTTGAAGAGGACTTGATGATATGTTGATTTCATTTGAATATGAGGATTCTAAGTCTGCTGATGTTAGTGTAATTATGACTAGTTAATATTGCTTGAATATGAACACATTTTTTACTCATTACTTTAATAATTTTCATAAAAATAAATACATAACAAACTATTGTCATTATTTTGCATTTTTAATATTTATCCAAATGACTGAAACGGGTGTGTCTCTGAACTCTTTGTCTCTTTATGAACTCTTTGTCCCCAAGCAACTATAGAATAAGAAGAAACTTCATAATACTAAAAACAATACAATTATCTTTACGTCCAAATCATCTCAGTATCTTAAGACAAAAGGGTGTGCCACTGCTCAAAGACCAGCATTGCCAGTGATGACTTAAGTAAGCAAGATGTGGTCGTTCAATGAGAAGGCAATGGAGAGAGCAACTCTTTGTGTTTCTCTATGCAATTGTATTAGTAACAAAGAAATCCATAGGAGAACCAACATTACTGACATTGTTCATCAGATATAGGTAGTTATTGTAATTATTCATAATAAATGTTGATATTTATTGTTTTGAATCTTTTGTACAAACATGTATTTTGAACTACCAAGTTGTCCATATACTTGTAAATTTTATGGTCTGTTATTTTTTATTTGTATTATAACAGTGGTTAGTTAAGCATCAATAGTTCAATAACACCATTAAATTATAATAAACTCATTCACAGTATTTTTGACAAATGATCTTTGTCAAAAATACTTTGATCGTTGCAGATTATTATTAAGCTACCAATCAGAGTTGTTGTGAATATTAGCATCAGCATCCACTCATTATCTTCATTGTCTTTAATATCAGCAACAATTGATGCTGCTTTTAATGCAAATAGTAGTAACGTGTTCGTTGATGAGAAACAACGAGCACAACTCACGTGGAGAATGTTTAAAAAACGAGGTGGCACTAGCGCTAGCAAATTAGATTGACAAAAGAAGCTAATAATAATAACAAAAAAGTTTAACTTAAGCAGTACAATGAAAAAAAAAATTTTTGTTCTTCCAAACTGCTTAACAGTTTATTGCCAAACAGAGCTCCCTTTACATTAGCAATGTACTTCTCAGATGAACTATCTGACACATTTGTGTTATAGAAAAATCATGTAAATCCATGTAGAAAGATTTTTTATTATTTGCGTAATAAAAATCATTTACGTTAAATTGTGTTGAAATGTTGTTACATTGTGTTACGTTGTACAGTGTAGTTATGAGTCCCACTCCTCAACTTTAATGCCTATTATCTAAGTAATTTCTTGTTAAATTGAAGCAAAAAAATTATCTAATATTTTTCTATTAATACATGAACATATTAAACCACTATCAGACTAATTTTTCTCCAAATGTGTCATTATATATAGAAAAAAAAAAACTATTAATTAATTTAGATTTTCCCACGTAAACAATCGATAACGTAACATTTCGAGCCGTAATGTTACAATTCAATAAATATGAGTACGTTGCACTCACAACAAAGACGTTTACCGACGTTTAGTTTATTGAAATGTGACGTTAAACCATGCTCCGTCATGGTCGTCAGTGTTTTGGTTCTTGTAATTCCCCGGTTCGAATTGTAAGTTAATTTAATTAAAGTTAAGTATATTTAAAAAAAAAAACACATAATGAGGAAGTATTAAAAAAAGCGTTGCCCGGTAGTTGGTCACTCCGTTGCATTCCAGCAGGATGTGAGTGGCTGTTTCTTCCGCCTCCATGCATCCTCTGCACAAAGGGCTGTCAGTGACACCTAGATTAAAAAGGTGCCTGTTAAAGTTGCCACGACCAGTAATAGCACCCGTTACCAGGCGCAAATATGGTTTACTTAGCTGTAGGAGGGCTTTGGAGAGGCGAGCGTTAACTCGGGATAGTGCAAGTTTGGCCTGCCTGCAGGTTTCCAAAGTGTGCCAGTACTGTTGATGCAGTTTACTCGAGTGTTCACGTATCCTACCAATTAACCAGCTTACCGGAATAGGAATGACCGGTTCCGGGCCCATTGGTGTTGCATCTGATCCTCTGTGATCCACTGTGTCCCTTTATCCATTGGATAGTAATTATATTGTGTCTCCCTACCATGTTTAGAACCTGGTGACACTCCTGTAGAAGACTCGATCGGACAGAACTTCCTTTGAGAGCCTGTAGGACTGATTCACTGTCCGAGAAGATTCGGATTTCTGATCCTGTTACCTTCCTTGTACTTATCGCTCTCTCCGCCAGGGTGATCGCCATACATTCAGTCTGGAAAACTGTATAGTATGGGCTAAGGGGCAGTAACAGATGTATGTTGAGGTCCTCAGAGAATACACCAGTGCAGGTTTTGGAGCCGTCCGTGAAAACTGTGAGGGCCCTGTGTGTTACCTTTGGATCGTCACTGTCCGTAAGATGTATCTTTTATTTCTTGTCAAAGATGAAGGTGGATTCGATTCTGTCGCACACCGCCTCAACAAGCGGGGTGTTTAACCATTCCTTCAGTAAGCCATTGAGATGTTTAGCGGTATCGAACCTTACCAGTTTATGATTTTTTTGTCTCAACGCTGTCTTGGTCGCTTCCTGTCTAATATAAATATGTAGCGATGTAATATTCAACATTACCTCCAGAGCTGCCGTGGGCGCCGTGCTCATGCATCCCGTCAGGGCGCAGCACGCCTGCCGTTGGAAGCTTTGCAGTTTGTTTTCACAGGACTGAGTAGTTTTTGTCCACCAAACAATAGCACCATAACTTACCATCGGTCGTATTACTGTGTTGTAGAGCCACAAGAACAGTTTTGGCGCAAGTCCCCTACGCTTTCCGATCATTTTGCGGCATTGCCACAGGATGACGCTCGCTGATTTAATTTTGTTTTCTATGTGGCTGTTCCAGTTTAACTTACTGTCAAGGGTTATGCCTAGATACTTGGACAGTTGTAGTGTTGTACCAAATAGTTTCGGTAGGTGAAACGTGCCTATATTGTGTTTGGTTGTAAACATTACCAGTTCCGTTTTTGCAGGATTCACGGTCAGGTCGTACTTTTCACACCAGCGTTCGACTCTCTTCAGCTTGGGCGGCTTGCATGGTGTTGCAGGTTATACAAGCATGGGTGCCTAGAGTTAATATTGTGATATCATCGGCAAACCGTATAGTGTAGAAAAGGTTTGCATTCAGGAGTGTGATCAGGTTGTTGACCACCAGGTTCCACAGTAGCGGCGAGATTACTCCCCCTTGGGGGCATCCCCGCGCCACCAAAGCCCCCGTAATGTCACAGTATAAGTATGACACAGTATAGAAACTAAGCCTATTTGATAAAATAAATACCTACGCTCCATTGAAACCATAGGGTTGTCATTTTGAATGTTTTAGACATTGTTTTTTTACAAAATATAAAAGGAGTCTGACATTATTAATCAATCGAATTGTAATAACTAATTAACAACCAAAAAAAATATACATACACATTTGTTCAGACGGTGATATCTACTTATATTATTCTATATCACCACATGCGAATACAACGTATGCGAAAATTGGGCAGTTCTGGAAATATAGCATACGTACAGGTCGTATTGATAACCTTCATTTTTTGAAGTCGGTTAAAAATCGGTTAATCTTAGCAAAAGACGATGGTTTAACATACGAGAAATAGTTTAATATTGAAACAACTTGTAAATCTTTGTTTTTATGTTGATCTTTAACTTGACATTACGGCATAACCTTGTACAAGTTTTGACGAACACATAGCCGAAGAGCGCACGAAACGTCCAACGTTTCGTGTTCTCTTCGGATCGGAGGCGTGGTAGGTAGGCACTGCATTAGGTTGCGCGCTCATAAGCGGCTGTTTTTGGGTGTTTATCAAGCATTTTCGGGTGGGACTGTACTACGTCTCAACCCGAAAATATGCATGATACTGAAACGGGTGTTTAAAAAAAACATCTAATTCTAAAAAAAAACTTATTTTTTATTTAACATAAGCCTACTCCTTTCCTTCATTTTTTAAATAAAAACGATCGCGAAACGTGTAACGTGACCCAACCAAGAAGTAGAAATAATTTGGACTTTATTTTCTCCAAGAAATCCCTGAAATACAGACATATTTCAGTTATCATGATTTTTTCAGCGTTGGAAGTGGCAGTCGTTGGCATTCATCGGGTCTAATTGGGACCTTCAAACCGTCTCTCGCTCAGGTTCGGCTCGCCCAGTCATCTATCAAATTGTTACAAGAGTTGGAGTCACGGGGACGGGAAACTGGATGGAAACAATGCGGGTCGTTACTTCTAGCTCGAACAAGAGACCGTATGACAGTATATAGAAGAATGAAGAGCCAGTCTGTGTATGTTTCTTTCTTATATTCTCTTATGTGTGACCAGCTGTTGTTGTAAGATTAATAGATGGTATTATTCTCAGACAGTTCCTGGGGTATACCGTGCGAGTTGGTTACACCTAACCGTTGTCAGGAGATTTGGCCAATGCTGAATGTGGAGGATATACTTGGAGGTCTTTGGATACCTGGCGATGGAGTGGGCGATCCTCATCTGTTCTGCATGTCTTTGTTGAAGGAAGCTGTTTCAAAGGGTATTTTTCAAATGTTTCTTGTAAGTTTGACATTTTTTATTACATTGATAATGTATAATATAATAAAACTGTCTCTATCAGGTGTAGGTGTAATGGAAAACTGTGCCGTGACTTCAGTTCTCTCCAAAAACAACCACGTAACTGGTGTGGAGACCAGTTGTGGTGCTGTGGAATGTGAATACTTTGTCAACTGTGCCGGTTTCTGGGCCAGGCAGGCAAGTTAATGCTGTTATCATGTGGACGCTAGAAAACAAAATCATAGTAGCCTGCAAAATAGCAATTGTTATTCAGAGCAGAAAACTTTTTTTTTAACTAATCGTTTTTTTTTTTTATTTAGGTTACTATGTGTTTGCTTCCTTGCGCCGAATCTACCCAAAAACAACCGATAGGGTTTACATGTTTTGGCATAGATAATAATGTTGACATGTTTCTTATGTATTTGAATGTAATAAAATCCATTTAGGAGTTAGTTTGTAATATGAGTAGTATTTAATACAAAATAAAAAAGTTGCTTTCGCTCATATCGCTTTTTTGTTTTTGACACTATTATTTAATAATTTGTTCACATTCATTATTAGGTTGGCCAACTGAGTCGCCCACAGGTCAAAGTACCGCTCTTGCCTTGCGAACATTATTATTTGCACACCAAGCCGATTGACAACTTAGATCCGATGACGCCGGGTATGTTGTTAAAAATTAATATAAAATGGGATAATGTTTAACATATGTCTATGTCCAGAGGTCTATCTAACTAAACGAGGCCTTGTGGTCCAGAGCTGACACTTTTTAAATCTTCTTTTAATTTATTTCACCATTATAAGAGGTGTGTTGTAGTCGTTTGAAAATATAGTAGAATAGTTCTATTTGGTAGATTTTGAGAACAAGACTACGAGAAAATTGATGCTCTGATAAGACAACACCAGAATATCTTTATTCTGAGCGTGGTGGGCAATAGTTTTCATTTTATTGTCTATTGTCAGTGGTCCGAGACCCCGACGGTTACATATACTTGAGAGAGCGTGACGGCTGCATACTGGCGGGTGGCTTCGAGCCAGTCGCCAAACCAGTTAACGAAGAAGAAAGTAAGTGCCCACGGCCCACTTAATTGAGAATAGTTTCATGACAATGTTCCAACCTCTATCTAGTAATATGTAAATGGTGACACACAGTAAACTCTGTGTCCGCCCGCTGTGTGCCCGAGGACTGGGACCAGTTCCACGTACTCCTGCAACAGCTGTTGAAGCGGGTGCCGGCCCTCAGTCAGGCCTCGCTGCACAAACTGTGCAACGGCCTGGAGGCGTTCTCGCCTGACTGCAAGTGGATCGTGGGCGAAGCACCAGAGGTAAACGAATAGGGGATAAGCTTTACCCTAAACAAATACTTAGTTATGTTTAAGTAATAGAAGACAGGGTGAAAATAGTTTTATTTTGAACTTCCCACAATAGCATTAAGTTTGTTTTCGTCTCGTTGGTTTCCCTTGAATGTTTAACAGGTTGTTAGTGGCGTAGTTAGTGTTCGATCGGTGCGTTCGATGTCACGGGTTGAGCGTGTACAGTGGCCGCCCTCGTGCAGTCCAGCTAAATTCGTGAACATCGAACGTTCCGCACGAACCGATCCGACAACGTGCCGGCATCGGCGCCTCACACGATCTTGACAACTGATGCTCTGATGATAAAACCCCAAGAAAACATCACGACAACACAAGATTGCGTTTATCAGACCTAAAATTAATGAAGATATGATGCAAGTTGGGATCGTGGTCACCGTCTGCGAGACTTGTTTAAGGCTTCGTCTGAACACAAATAGACAACGGCCAAGAGTCGGTGAATATTATTACGACTAATAATTTTAGTAGAAATTTTCTATGTACAAATTTTAATGTGAATAATTTTTTACAATTTTTAAAATTAAGGAAATTTTTATACCAGTTCATTTTGAAAAAAGGACATTGTAATAAGTATTAAGTGTGAAATGTGTTATTTTTATTTATATTGTGAAAAGAATTGTTATTATTGTTGGCAACCCAAAATACTAATACTTGCCAACCCAAAAAAAATATAAAAAAGGGTCCCTCGTTCAAAATACTTTAGGAATCCTCGATGTATTTTGACAAAGAGCGGGAGGAGACGGCTCATTTATATTGTGTGGCGAGATGGATGGTAACCGTACAGTATCAAGTCTTCTTACGGATGAGGATATGTGGTATGCGTTTGTGTTAGATGTTCAAGTACCACGTGGCCGCTGGCATGAAGACGGTGGGCATCAGCGCTGCGGGCGGCGTCGCGGAGGCCACCGCCGACGAGATACTGGACGGATACACCAAGTACGACATGTACGAGCTGCACATCAACAGGTTCCTGGGGCTGCACAACAACAAACGGTTCTTGAGGGACCGCGTCAAGGAGGTGCCCGGTGAGACTTGCACACGATCATAATGTTACATACAAACAAACTTGGTCATATTAATTTTATCTCATAAATTGTCACGATTATATCCTTATAATATAAACATTAATCGATAAATATTGTATCACGGATGTTAACCTAAATGAAATGATAACTTAGCTTGGAGTTCATTTTTCTATGCATTTTAAAATAGCATGTTATGATTGTTGATTTCACAAATAATGTGATAAAACGATGTATAACTAGAGGTGATGAAAAGATTGTATTTAGGCCGTCACTCTGATAATAGATAAATATTAGTTACGTTTTTTGTTTTATCTTCAATTTATGATTAGACAAATATAGCTTGGCAATATAATGGTGTGACGTCATACGACATGTCAACTCCACGTATACACTCGTACTTTATTGATTACGCAAAAAATAAAAATAATACGCGTTTGGCTCAATACGTGTACATAATGGCGCGGTGATAGCGTTCCTACTATTACCTACCTACACCGAGAGTCGTGGGTTCGATCCCCACCCAGGACAAACATTTTTGTGATTAACAATTATGTCTGTTTTGCGTCTGGGTGTTTTCTATTTATATTATGTATACATTTGTATACATATACATTTGTATTCCCCCCGTTGTTTCTGATATCCGTATCAAAAGTGCCTAAGCTGAGTGACTTACCACGGAATCGGAACAATGTGTGTGATGTTGTCCTATATTTATTTTATAATTCTTTAATAATCCACCTAACGGATGAACAAAAAAAATGTTAGTAACGATTGGTACCTGAAAGACTCGTGTATCGATTTTTAAACATGCCTGACAGTTAAAAATTTTGTACCGATGGCGCCCTCTGTAGTTACGTATTTGTAATGTTAGTATCATTAGGGAGGAGCCCATGTTATATTGCAATATACTCCAGGTGTGCACTATGGGTTGCCTTACCCGTTCCACGAGTTCGAGACCGGCCGCAACCTGCGGCTGTCCCCGATCTACCCGACCCTGAGGGACAACGGAGCGGTGTTCGGACAAGTGATGGGCTACGAGAGGCCCACCTGGTTCGAGACAGTCGGTCATATACATCACCATTATATTACACTCAATGCACAGTTTATATTTGTTTTAACTAAGGCTGCGAGGGTCCATTGCAGGTACACGGCGAGGGTCCACCCCACTGGCCCAGTACAGGTTGCTGCAACCGGGACCAACAGATTAACGTGCCTTTCGAAGGACGGAGGAGCTCGAGTCGATAATTTCGGTATCCGGCCCTTGCAGATGTTGCGTCACATCCGCACAGCAGACGGAACCCGTACACTATTAGTCCGTCCTTCGATTTCACATGCGTGTTGTCTTATGATTCGGTAATGTTACACGTTTCCCACACTCCTATGAGATATGCCCTCAGACTTGATGGGAAGACGATCTTGGCGGCGTGACTGGCGGAAACTGGACGAGAATAGTCCGAGATAATAGATCGATGGCGTGTGGTTGGAATGGTCTACGTCCAGCAGTGGTGTTGATACGCTTCCGTATATTCGCTCTTTAATATGTTTTATCTAAATTTATTCATAGATTATTTTAGACCACCATACTAAATAAAGTCAGTAAGGCTCTAGTACTTAAACGGCTGATCAAAGATGATTTTGTGGGCACCGCACATTGACTAACGATTCAGATCCTTAATCAGCCGATTAACTCAACCGAGCCCTAGAGCACCGTTTAACCGCCGATTATATTGCGTTATGTCATTGGTTGCTAGCTCCTGCTTGGCTTTTTACTAGTTTTCTGCAAGCGCCTTAGTACGCGTGGGTCCGCATTAAACATCTTTTGAATCAAAATCCGTTGTATACTTTGAAAAATCTCTGTCTAAAATGTGAATCTTTTCATAAGTATTAAAGTAAAAAATATATATAAATGTGAGTGGAATATTGACGGTGCGTTGTCGTTCGGTACGTACAGACAAGTGCGAGGGCGCCGGTGGGCCCCCGTTGCCGCGCCCGTTCACGATAGCGTCCACGAAGACGTTCGGCAAGCCGCACTGGTTCGACACCGTCCAGCGCGAGTACTGGGCGTGCAGGGAGGCGGTCGGCCTGGCAGACTACTCCTCATTCACCAAGATAGACATACAGGTGACGCGCCCGACACACACCTGGGGGCCGTTTGAACCTCACCGAACGATACGGTTACATCGTGTAAAACTAAATACAAAGTTTTAGACGTTTCGGACCCTTTACATGTTCCGTTGTAACGGTTCGCTTAATCCTTTATTAACAACAGTTACAATTTTAAACTAAAATTCATTCAGGACATCGGATCAGAATGTCATCCCCTGGCACACCGCCGCCGTGGTCGGACTCCTCCTCTACCAGGGCTGTGGTATTCCAGAATTTTTATTGCGCATCCGATCGACGAATTACGAGCCCTCCCCCCTGTTCTAGATAATATTAATAAAATTGTAAAACTAAATAATCTGTCTCATTTACCAATACGAGCTCCTCGGTACACCGTATTTACATAAGGTTAAAGTGTTGATTGTCTTTTTAATTAAAAATATGGCTACCTTCAAAAAGCAATAGTGAATTGCTCCCTTTGGTTTAATATATACAGAACGAACTAACTGTATCTTTTGGTTTTGCAACGTATGGTCTGGATTGAGATTTTATTTGAATAATTACTCTATCTCAAGCCTGTGGTATAATGCCTACCTTCGTCTCTATTAAATAGAAAATTCATTTTTTCTTGTCGAAGTTTGTTTCGCCAGTTCTTCTCAGAAAAGGCTCTTAAGGTTGGAACTGGTGGAAGATACTACTGTAGCTAGGGGTAAATAAATAAGTCAAATATGTTTTCAAAATAATTTTATTAAATTTAATAAATGTAAATGTTTCCATTTTTTTTTATATTGTATTGTGAATGTGTCCGATAGTATTGTTTTAAAGGTAGCTATATTCTTAATAAAAAAAGACTAATCAACACCTTAGTTCTACGTGCACACGGATACAGTAGAGGGTCCGAAACGTCAATAACTAAACGCGATGAAACTGTTAAAAAGTTAAAGTATAAGAAATAAGAAAAAAGCTATCTTCACAATGACCTTGACAAATATGATCTTATCGTTCTGTCGGCGATGATACCACAGATGTAAAGGTTAGAATAGCGATGCAAGCACCGCCCCATTTTGTTACGTCACATTTGCCTCAACATCTGGAAAGTGAATTGGATACTAGTAAGTGTCTTATACCGTCGGTGTGGCTCCAGGCCTCAGAGGTGGGTATCATCAGAGTATAAAGAGTACTTACTCTTGTGCTCTTCATCCATTCGCACCGAAAATGGTTTGTATGTGAGCGCGCCCGTGCGTATGCGGCGTCGCACGCACACACTTGCAAAGTTATCCAAGTTGTAGGAGTTCAAGGCACGAGTGGCAACTCGCCAGTCGTGGCTAGTACGCCGTGCTTGCGTATAAACAAGATGGCTTTGAGAGCTAAACCAAAATATTGTATAAATTGAGTATATGGTATTTCACATTTTTTATAAATCAAGTATATGGTATTTCGTTCTGTAGGTATTCGGATAATTTATTATAATACAAGTAATTATAATTTTGTGTAGCTATTTACCCATCGAATGTGTTTATGAATTATTTGTGCTCAAGATTACGTTTACCAGATATCAATTTGTAGTTTAATTTGTTAAATCTCTATGTCCGAATACTGCCAAATTGATATTGAATTGTATATTTGCGTATTAGACAATGTAATACCCACAGAACAGATAAAAAGGTAGAATGATTAAGTGGGCGGGGTCGTGCGACCATCCATATGCCCAAAACGGTCATATGAACGTCATGTTACTCAAATTTCCAGTTTATTATTTGCACAATGTCATAGTGGTCTATGGTGCGTCGAAAAATACGAAAATATGCCGAATAGTGCCGTTATTACGAGTCGTTTGCGTAATGAAAATGTAATTCTGAAAAAAGGAGAAATTTCATTTCATCGGTAAGTAAAAAATATTGGTTATATAACAGTATATCGAGATATAATCACATATTTTTTTCCGTGAGATTGTGTCAGTTGTTAACATAGTGCTTGCAGATATCGATAAAATGCTATCGATAGTACCTAACCCTAATATTATGAATGGCAATCAATTTACATGCAATTATAACATTAAATCTATTAAGATAAATAGTTAACAGATTTTTTTTTGAGATTTGTATGTTTTTGCTACATAATAGTGTTAATTTGTTACATAATAGTTGCCGCCAATTGTTACATAATAGTGTTAATTTACTATTAAATTTTGTAATTCATTGTGTAATGTGAACAATAAAGAGTTTTGTATTGTATGTTTCAGTTTTCCTAGAAACCCCGACATAAAAGAAAAGTGGATTGACGCGTGATAGAAATGGTCAATGGTTTCCTTCTAAAACTAGATACATTTGTTCAACATATTTTTCTGTAAATGATTTCATTAATATTAAATAATATGATAAATTACTTACAAATTTATAATGAAATATTATGTATTATATCTAATTTTCTGATTATATTGTCAAATTAAATGATATATTGGGATATTATTGAAATATAGTTTCAATGAGACATCTTTGTTATTATTTTCCATTCTTAATATATTGTGCTTCATATAATACCTAGTTAGTAAAAAAAATATGGATAATTAAATATACAAAAAAAATTAGCTAGGTATCAAAAAATAAAACTATGACTATATAATAGAAAAAAGGCTAATTAAAATTATAAAAATCTAGGCCCCAAAGGGCCAAATTATCATTACTGTCACCTGCTCTTGATATGTGACCCCGTTGCAGCCTACTTCTGATTAAAACTGACAAAAATCGCAGTTACATTGCTACTTTAGCAAGATAGGAATTGGTCTAATTGATCGAGCCGTTTCAAGTGAAAGTTGATTACAATCATTGTGAAGTGATTACATACATATGGTATTTATTTTCATTGGATTTTTTTTCGTGAATATGCGAAATGTTAAATTAATAAATTATTTTATTATATTAACCCATATATATATCAATGATTTTCTGATTATCGATATCAAATTGTGAATCACAGGGCACTTCACTATTTCAGTGTTGACAGAAGCGTAAAATTCTTTGCATTATATTTTGAAAAATTGTTTTAACGCAGATACGTCGTGCAATAACATTTTTATGTAATGAAACATGTATTTCAAATGTTTACACATTAACTAATTTAATATCCGCGCACAAAATATAACATTTAAAACTAACAAAAGTAATTGTGCAAATTTATATTATAGCTAGCCATACATTTTGTGTATTACTGTAAAATCACCTGTATTAATAGGCTAGTGTATACTAATTTTGCTGAAACTTTTGTAGCCAATGGAAGCATCGCTCTCTTTGTGAGCTGAATAGGTGAAGTTTTATGTCTGTGTGATATCTGGCACGCGCGGTCCTAGTACTAATGTTAGTACGTTATCATTCTAACCTTTTTATCTGTTCTGTGGTAATACCTATAAAAAATATGGGCCATTGATAGAAACTGTTTGTACAAAGCACATGATTATTAAAAATTAGGATCGGGATTTTCCTATTTTGTTTGTAGCCTGATTATTTGAAAAAAAAAAAAAGAATAAATACATAATTCATAAAAACCACGTTTTAATTTTACCCAACACTAAGTTGATGACATGATGTAGGTATGAAAAAAATTGTTCCTGGTATATATATTAAAAAAAAAACATTGAAAAGTTGTATTTTAGAGATTGATTGACCATGCATTTGTGACGATTGAATAATCTATAAGCGACAGCCCTACACGTTTAGGTTATTGCCTCTCGGCCGGGTCTCGAGTGCACTTACTTATATATTTTTACTGTGGTATCGTTTCAGTCCAACGGTCGCGAGGTGGTGGACCTGTTGCAGTACCTGTGCTCCAACGACGTGGACGTGCCGGTGGGCAGCATCATACACACGGGCATGCAGAACGAGCGCGGCGGGTACGAGAACGACTGCAGCCTGGCCAGGATATCAGACTACCAGTTAGTGTTGCCATTCACTTGCTTGTTTGCCAACACGGCAATCTAGAATAATAAAATCTAGTTTTGCACATAGGTATTTAATTGTCGAAAGTTGTAGTATATCTGAAATATAACACAGGTCTTCGCGAGCACACTTTCAGTGCTCAGGCATTTTGCATTTTGATGTGTAGCTATACATTTATTCGTAGTTACATGATGATCGCGCCGACTATCCAGCAGACCCGGTGCAAGGTGTGGCTGAAGCGGCACTTGCCCGCCAACGGGTCAGTGACCCTGACCGACGTCACCTCCACGTACACCGCCATCTGCGTGATGGGCCCCTTCACCAGGAGCCTGCTCTCCGAGCTGACGGACACGGACCTCTCGCCCGCACACTTCCCCTTCTTCACCTTCAAGGAGATAGACGTCGGACTCGCCAACGGCATCAGAGCGATGAATCTCACGCACACAGGCGAACTCGGATATGTGCTGTACATACCCAACGAGGTCAGTTTGTACACTTGCACACACCGACATGGCGACAAAATGTCAGGCAGTCAAAAATTCTAAATAATTTAGCTTGAAAGACTGCTTTACTCGATGAAAAAGTACCTAAATATTTTAAAATTCATTGTGGCGAGGGCGTCGTCAACATACGTGTACATTTGAGAGATATAGCGCGGATGAAGTGAGCGGAGTGTTAGTTTCATACGATTTGTTTACTTTTAATTACTATTAAGGTTTCATTAAGGGAAGACATGTGTAGAGAATGCCGATTGAAAAAATATCATATTTTTTTAATATGCACTATTTCGAGATTAAACTCAAACTCGATATCATTTATTTAGTCTATACTGTTACAAACACTCGTGAAAGTCGAAACTCGATGCTATCGATTCGCAAATCTACACCGAGGGAGAGACCTTGTACTGAAAAAAAAAACGCAAGTGGTAGATGAGCAATGTGTGTATGAGTGTGTGTGTATGCCGCAGTTCGCGCTGCACGTGTACCAGCGGCTGATGGCTGGCGGCGATAAGTACGGCATCAGTCACGTGGGCTACTACGCGGCGCGCGCCCTCCGCGTGGAGAAGTTCTTCGCGTTCTGGGGCCAGGACCTGGACACGATGACCACGCCGTTGGAGTGCGGCCGCACCTGGCGGGTCAAGTTCAACGTCAGTACCTACACTACATAATACATATACATATGTAGGGAGCGGGGGGCTAGTTGTAACAATTTCTTGGCTGTAAAAGCTTTCCTGTTTGGTGTTCAGTAAATCTAGCAGTACTATCCCAATCAACAACTATTCTAACTATCGAGTTCAAATAAAATTTTAATTAAACCTGTAACAACTATTTGTAGGAACAGCTTTGAAGAAAAACAGACTAAATGAGGGCTAGGGGCAAATTGTAACATAAGTAATAGAAAAACAGTTTTATATTTTATAATCAATCGTTTTGGCATGTGAACACGCTCACACAGGTTTAAGCTATTAAGTATAATTTTTAATCTAACAGATAAATATTAAAAATCAGCAAATAAATTGTTCTTTCTTTTACTTGAACTATTTAGAAATTTTAAACTTGCAACCACGCCCATTTTACATGTGCCCACATCTTGCATGTGATCATTGTACCCACACCTCGTTACCACTAGCCCTGTAAAAGTGTTACAACACACAGAGAGGTTTTTTGAAATAACATCGTTAAAAAAAGGTCGCTCATTTTTAAATCACAGTTAATTACAGTGAAACTAAACAAATGTTTATTGGTTTTATCGGAGCGCCTCGACAATACCGCTTTCTACGTCGTCCGACGGGACACTGGCCGCGCTTATATGATACATTGCGTGTTAAAAAGTAGGTTAGGTTGAAAATAAACGAATATTGTTCTATTGTGTAGCTCAAAAATGCTTGTTACTACTTACCTCTGGTACAACTAGCTTCCCTACACACGGCTGCACGTCAGGTTGCCTCGAAATATCAAAATTTCTACATCTGGGTTAGGGGGCGGGGGAAAAAAGTGGGAAATTTCTGTCCCGGGAAAGAAATACATAAATTTTGCCTCATGGTGCAGAAAGGAAAACTTAATCGTTAGATCCTGATCTGATGAATGTTGAAAGTATTATCTCCACGGAGTACTATTATTGTACCTTTTATTGTATGGGGTGGGATGTACAATAAAATAACGCAGAAATCGTATGTCCTAACAACAAGTACGGTTTAGTTTAGATAGTGCATTACTCAATTTAAAACAACAAACGCATCAGTAATTATCTCTGCAGACTACCCACATTTCTAGAGCTTGCGCGTTAACAAAACAAACAAGGATGATATTCTGAAGAAAAAATAGTCCATTCGGATAACGTTCTAACGACGAGGGTATCTAAATAGAAAAACGTGGAGTTCATCGGGCGCGAGGCGCTGGTGCAGCAGCGCGCGGAGGGCATCCGGCGGCAGTACGTGCAGCTGCTGCTGACCGACCACGACCAGGAGCTGGACCTGTGGTCGTGGGGCGGCGAGCCCATATACAGGGACGGGGACTACTGCGGCCAGACCACCACCACCAGTTACGGGTTCACCTTCAAGAAACAGGTCACACGTTGTACTCGTACCTTACAGTTCAGTCAACACTTATAGAGAAATTTAAATCGATCCAGCTATGTTTCATTCGCCATAACAATAAACCTGTCATCCGGGTAATTTAGCTTGCGTCACAAAAGAAAAAAAAAAAACGGTCCATTACTTTCTGAACTTTTTCAATGCAAACAAATCTAATATGTAATTTAATACCCGTTGAAGGAAAAAAAATTGTGTTTAAAATTAGTTTCTATTCACCAGGTGTGCCTCGGATTCGTTCAGAACCTGGATAAAAATGGCGTCGCGCAGCCGATCACAAACGACTACATTCTAGGCGGCCACTACGAGATAGACATAGCCGGCATCAGGTAACTATGTTTGTGCGATTGCCTATCTTCAAATGTTCGTTATTATTTATTATAACCGGTATACGAAACAGCCAAAGATAAATTTAATAAGTTATAAATCACCGGTGATCCGTTGCCCGCGACAGATACGCAGCGAAGGTGAACCTGCACTCGCCCAACTTGCCGACCAAATACCCGGACAAGGAGCGGGACGTGTACCAGGCGACCAGGAAACTGCACGACCCCCACCAGTTCCTCGGGCGGCATTACCAACATTAGACGCTGCGCCGGCACCTAAATGTTTAGTCGGCTGCGAATTTACATTTCACTAAAGAGAAGTGGGAAGATTGAAATTGCCAAGACTGCCTCAATAATAAATGTATTTCTTTTTTTTTTTGTATTCGTAACAAACAACAATCTTTATTTTCTTAATGAGAAATGCTTATATAATCGCCCGGATAACGGGGGTTCGAGTCCCATCTCGGGGTGAGGGATTATTTAAACACATCTCACTAAGAAAATTTACCTGTATAATAGCATCATGAATGCAAAATTGATTAAATATTATAGTCTTCATGCATCTTACACTCGACACCTAATGAGACGCGCTGATGTTCTAGTACAGTTTATCGTACTTACAGTCGGTTGGATAATTATGAAAGCTGTCATACAATCATCCTCATACTCCGGTGAGTATCCCTAGTGATTGTATTCACCGCATTATATGCGGTAAATGCAATTTGGATGTTCATCCATTCAGTGTAAAAGCAGCGTGGCGTGACTTCAAAGGCGTTGGTCCACTGTATGTGTGTTATACTGTGATCACGAGTCAAGTAGGTAAAGCTATCCGTTTGTTTATCACAATATTCAAGTAAAGTATCAGTATTAAAAGCGACGAAGTCTTTTCGAAATAAACTCATGCCTTTTATATGAAAATACTGAATAAACAAATCGGAAACAGTTAAGTTTCAAAGATATTTCATTTTTACCACCATCAATATTTTAATCAAACAAGATTATATAGACTTTAGGTTTTGAATATAAATTCATAATGTTTATAACTAATACCTATGTAATTTTGAGTCATTTCTTTCGGAAAGTTACTATGCTCAAGTTTATACCCTAATGGCGGCACTACACTTGACAATTCGCGCTAAGGTTCTTTTTTTTTCGCTATTTGTTTTCATGTTGCACATTAGTCATATATTGTCAAGTAGCTGCCATGTTTTCACTCAGTCGCACAAACGATCTAATGAAAGTTTGGTGTATAATGAGAATGTATTTACATCGTGTAATGCTTTCCTACGTGAGACGCAAAGTAGCCATGTATAGAATAAGAAGAACGTTTTATAAGTTTAACGACCGCTTTAAGCTCTAATGTCAACGTAATGTCACACATTTGCTTCTTGCAAATAGCGAAGTTTAATGCCACCATAGAGTAATATATTTATGTTATTAACATGTAGGCGTTTTACTTAAAATGTGATCTTGCATATGTTGTAATTACTCAAAGTATTTTTTCAGCAAACAATTACACAATTCTTTTACTGTAATATTAATAATTACGAAATAAATATGTAATAGTTATTTTTATTGAGATTTCTCCTACAAACAAAACACAGATTTTCCTGAAGTATTTAGAAGTAGGTGAAAATAATATACTTCCAACAATAAATTACGTGTACGTTGGATTACTTTAAATGCCAATCGATTTGACCTTTAAGAATATATGTATTTGAATAGTATCTTGATGATAGATTCTTTTGTTATTTTGAAAATGTAGTGTCTACAGCACGCCGGGTTATACAAAACTTTCAAATTTCTCCACTTCATTTTAAACCTTTATGCAGTGCAGATAAAAGTTGAAAATCAATTGAGGAAATTTGACATATTGTGGTGGTCCGACGTGCAGCCGTGTATACGTTACAAGAACTATATTAATAAAACGGCCATTGAAAGCAATTGAAATGCTGTAATCACGTTAATACTGTTTGTTTACAAACAAATGTTTTGTTAATTTTCAAATAAAAAAAATTAGATCAATAAATTATACAATGTTATGTTTCGTTGTTTTATTAAATACTACCAGTTAATATACAAGGTTAAGCGTATTAGTAAATTTACGCTAAAATTGCAATTTTACTTTTAGTGTAAATCCATAATAAACAGAATAAGCAAACCCACTACAATCTAATTATTATGATACAAATTATAAGTAATCACTGTATATTGATTAAAAACGAATATTGTATACATGTAGAGCAATTTTAATGTTAATTTTTTAAACTACACATAATATTTCGTTATTTTAGAAACGTCTTTGTTTGACTTATTAAGTCTTTTTTTAGCATATTTTCATTTAGTAATTTAATATCATTCAGAAAACTATAAGTACTAGAACCATTTAACATGTAAATAAATAAATAAGAACCTTTTTAATGAATGCTAATTAGAAATAATTATCATTGACACAATAAAACATGTTTATAGCTATGCAAAATTTATTTGCGGGATTTAGGCGGTCGCTTTGCAGGACACAGCTAAAATCAATTGATCTTATATATGTTACATTAGGTGGTATCAGGTGGGTAATGGGGTATTTGAATAACAGAAAAAATTGTGTGAAACGAATTCTTTAATCTTATTATTTATCACTTTGTTTTGAAAAAAGAACATAAGCTAAGTTACATAATATCTGAGGCAAGTCTCTGTGTCACTGCTAGGCTGATGTCAGTCTGGTAGCACTACACTTTCCAGGTCATGATTTAACCCCTTATTTCTCAGTCTGGGATATAGTTGCGATAATTTCAGAAGTATATACTTTTGCAGATGATTATAAAAAATGTTTGCTGGGCTGATGTCAGTTTGGCAACAGTGGTGTTGCCTAACTACATCCATTTAGAAGCTCATTCTCATACAACATCAAGTCATTTTAGCATGACTTCATAAACATTGAGTTTCGCCATACAGTACCATGAAGAATGATGCAAATGTATACAGTAATATAAGACTCCTACTACTTATTGTGACTTAAAACATGACAAAACCTAGAATCATATGCTATCAAAGTCAAATACGTAACTTCTGTCAAATTGTGGTTTGTATAAGTCTATGATTGCAAACATTTTTACCATCAAGACACATATCTTGATACAGCTTTATCCCAATTCTATGTTAAATCATATTATGAGGGCGAGAGACTGATAGACACAATAAATCCCTAAGTAAACTAATGGGAAAACAAAAGATATAAAACTAAAGTTTATATATATTTTAATGGCTTGTATTTGTCAAATACACCTGAAAAATAGTTGCATGTGTATTGTACTTATAAATCTCATTGACTATTCAAAATAGTATTGCTTTCATTATAAATAAGAATGGTAGCCAAATCAATTTATTTCTCCATATCAGGAAAAATACTAAATATATCAAAAGTATGGTTTTGAGACATCTGTGGCTTTCGAAGTTTTTCCTTGTGCAGATCACAAGGAGATTTAGTGCTAAAATCAAAGCGTACTATGTTTGTTGGAATTTTTTCCATCAAGTATGGAGCTGCTACTGGTTTTAATCTGGAAGTCAAAACTTTGCCAAAGGGTGAGCATTTTCCTCGTCGAATCTTTTGTTTCAAAATATATGACATGTCAGTTTTACAAGGAAGTAATGGTTCTGGAGTCTTCATTCGCTCTGGCTCTTCATCACAATCAATAAATTTTGGTTCAAAAAGTGACTCAAATGAACTGCTACTGCTCATTGGTTCCTCTTTTTGAGTCGGTTTGGGGTCAATAAAATTTACAGATTCCTTCATTGCTTTGACCAAATCAATAACATCATTCTCTTCTTGTGCCTTCCGTTTCTTTGCTTCTTCTACAATTTTCTGACGCTCCTTGGCTAATTGAGCTAATTCCTCCTCTTGCTTTTTCTTTCTCTCCTTCGCTATGAGCATATTGTTTAGCTGTTGTGCCAGCACCTCTTGTATAGGGCTCTCAGTCAAACTTAAAGTGGGGAGAGGTAGTCGTTGGGCTGGACTCATAAAGAGACGTGTTTCTGAAACAGTTTTATTTGTGTCTCCACTTAAACTGGGCAGAGGCAACCTGGGAAAACCATTCTCAACCTGTGCAGAGTTGCTAGCTTGCATGCTGGTCTTCGAAAGATGGTTATCCACTAACGCCATCAATGAAGAGAAAGAATCTGAGTCAGTCATCTTTGTATGATTTGTCTAGAAAGTCTTTAAACTATAATACAGTCAATAATAATAACTTTACTTCATTGTTTACAATTTTGTCCACACTCATTCACAAATTATGCATTAATTTTCCGTTGAAAAGAGCACTGTTTATTTATTATGTATTTCTACACTATAAATAGGAAATAAACAAAGACGTGAAAGGAAATGGCTAACAATTTTTTTTTTCTTTATTGAAGCTTTGGCTACACTGACCATCAGCTTAAACATTAAATGTGAAAAAAAATTTAACAAAATTATACTACAAGCTAACACAATGAACTTTTATAATATAATAAATCTTACTGTCGAATTCAAACGAAAAACAATCATTAATAATCACAAAAACCACGACACAACTTTTTTTTTTATAAATAAGTACATACAGTTATAAGGGACCAAAAGTATTGACGTAAAAATTATAAATAATACAATAAATCTCTTATATCTTCAATAACTCTTTTACATTTAGAGGAAATTTTTTGGAAGGCATTGTTTAAAATAAACCAATAAACAGAAGGCGTTGTATATTGAAATATGGACAATTAAAAAATAAATCATCAAGATCGCAATTTGCGAAGTAACAATATTTACAAATGGCGTTGTTACTTAATCTAAGACGGTGAAGATGAGATAGAAATTTACAGTGACCTATTCTTAATCTACAGAAGCTAGTTATAAATTGCCTATCGAAGTATTTTGATTTTTCAAACCAAGCTGTAGTGTTGGGTACAGGTACAATATCGGCATGCCATTTACCTTTAGTTTCGCGAAAATTATCTAATGATAAACACCATCTTTTGATCATGTTGTCTTTCAAATAAATGATTAAATCACATAAAGGAATTTTATTGTCGTTTATTGCGTTTCCACTGTTAACTTTTTGTACCTATGGATCACCTAGGTGTTCTGCCATTCAAAATAATGTACCCGTAGTTCACCTATCTAATGAAACACAAGTCATCCTAAATAATTGAAAAATTTAATGTTAAAATTGATAAAATTAAAGATTTTCAGGAAAAAATAAGAAAGAAATCTGTTTTGGTGATGTAAC